GGGCAAAAAATATTCAACAGCCTCCTCTGCAGTCCCTACCATTTCAACACCATCAATCTTATATTCTCTAAGTTCTCACTCACCTACTTTGGCCTTGGCCTTTTAGCTTTGGATGAGGTTACTTGTAGATACTCCTCCAAAACCCTTTTCTTCACATACATGTTATCCCTGTGTCTACCTTTAACATTCCACAACATTACAGCCCACCTGATGGGTTCCATTTTTGTTTGGGGTTGTCACAAATTTGAATAGTGAGCTTATATCTGTGCCAGGGGGCAACATCAACATAAGAACAGCTTGATTCACTGTAAAATACTAAGGATTTCCTTGGCATTCTCTGTGTTCCACCCCTGGCCTTGTAGAGGGCCCTCACAGGCAAGCACATATTTGTTGAGGATCTGTGTGCCAATGTCCCGAAACTGGAGGCGATCTTCTTTGTGATCCATAGTGTCAGCGCTGCAGTCCTCATACTTGACTGCCCAAAAACACATTTCCCCGATATACATCATTGTCAACAGGTGTGTATCTGAGAAGATGCCTGGCCAGAACATAAGCAGATAGTGAGTTTAATCCAATGTAGAGCTGTATAACAATTTTTGTTATTCAAAGATAACTGATAACGTATTTACCTTCAGACAGGATGCTTGCTGTAGCAGTATCGTGGAGCACCACCCCATCGTTGAGCTTCACAGAGTTTCTCACCTGCAGCATCCGCATTAGGTAGCGCACACCTTCCTGAATACACTGGTTTAAAATATTATCACCCAGATTAGCATTAAGACTAAAATCAGAATGTCAACAGAAAACTCTGAATACTAAACAATTTTTTTATTTTTACCGAAACTAAGTAAATTTGTTAGGCAAATCTACTAAAATCTTATCAAATGTGGTACCTTAAGGAATGTGTCCTTATTTTTCTTGATCCACTGTTTTCGCTGATGAAGAGTGTGGCAGTACATGTACAGCAGAGCTCCACGTCTCCAATAGAGACATTCTAACAGCTCTAGGCCCAACACAGACTGTACCTAAAGACCAAAAACATGAACAGTACTGTCACATGATAACATAAAATTAAATGTGTGCCAAGTGTTTTGTGAAAGTATAAACCTGTAAGAAAATTAAAGTGGATTAGACTTTGTATTGTGAATACTTGATAATCAACCAGAATAGAATAAGTCACATTCACAAAAATCATTTTGAGACACACACACACACCTCTTGTGTTGGTGCTATCCTCCCTGCCAAAACTTCTGGCTCAGTCAGGTCTTGCAGCAGCTGCTGGATTTTAAATGGAGAACAGTCCTCAGGGAACTCCTGGTCCACCAATTTATTCTCTTCATAAAAGGTGATGTCTAGGATTACCTAAATGATGAAAAACAAATATATACCCACATACAAAACTGAATACAATGTGGTAAAAAAAGATCATCTATCTATCTATGTGTGTGTGTGTGTACACACACACACACATACATACATACACACACACATCACATTTTCTAAATTACAATAATCTTTTCTAGTAAGTCACAAGCATTAAATTAAATTTCAATTTACTGTCCTTTCAGAAATACATCCTGTGTCTGTGGCAATTATCAAGCAAGTCCATTACACATTAACACATACATTACACAATAACACAATATAGATGAGCACACACAACTCATACAGACATCACATATCACAGTGAACCACAACAAACCACTGTTCACAAAGATTTGTTTAGCAAATTTATACCAGAGGGTATGAAAGATATCTGGGCCCAGGCAGTCTGCAATGATTCTCTATTCATTAAATGACTGAGTGCTTCATTAAAAAGGAAGATCAAATCATAACTGATAATATACTGGATCTGCCAGTGAATGGGAACCACAGATGTAGCTTCTCCAAAACACAAAGGTGCCTTTACAAAAGCAAACTCAAGCTCCAGTGTCCTTACTAAATTTGAAATGTACTCTCTAAATTCACTTTGTGTGTTCAATAGCAACCGGTTACTGTAATTGATTACGGCTAGCTTGATACTTTAAACCTTACTAAGCTTTGAGATTAGACCACTTCTCATCACGAAGTCCACCTTAACTAAAGTGCTGAACAAACACACCACTGACCACAGCACACCCTTGGTGTTAATTTGTCTTGATCAGAAAATCCCTTTAAGGCTTGGTGCCCAATTAAAATGTTTAGAGACATGGACATACATTTTCACTCCTACATTCTTAAAGCATTGATAATGACTTTCATAAAGTCAGTATAACCCTTTCTGTAAAATGTATAGTAATTCACCCAAAACCTATCACGTGGCACCTCTGCAGGTATGGCGTGTATAAAGGTAAAATATAAAATAACCCACAGTGATTTCTTTTTTTCTGCTTCTCAAATTTAAGGATACTCGTTCCTGTTTTATACAGGTAAGCACGATTGAATACCTTTGTGCTTGGAGTCTTAATCAGATGCACCAAACAAACTGAAGTTTACCTGAAGCTCAGCAAAAATGAGATGGGCATTTTGATCTATTTTCTGATGTTTTGTAAACAACATATTATTTGAAAAATAAAATCAGATCATAATCACTAATGAAAATAATCGTTACTTCCGGCAACTTGATGTATTGAAGTACCTGTGTGTAATCCTGAAGCAGTTTGGAAAGGTTGCTACTCTCTCCTCCTTGGCTGTAATAGCTTTTCAACTTCTCTAGTATGGCGGACGCATTCTGTAAATAGTCATCATCTATGGAAGAACGATATGGAAGAACACAATAAACATTTGTCTTCAACGTTACACATATCAGAGTACTATTGTTAACGACAAACGCTTTATATTAGTACACAATGTTTATGCAAAACTGCTCGACTTACACTAAAACAGAAACAAAACCTCACAAAATCAAAAGCTATTTGACTTTCCTACAACATAGTATACCATCATGTCACGTAAAGTGTACTACCATTTTAAAGTGTTTGATGATGCTGAAATAAACTGACAACTTTATAAAGATACAATTAAGCAACAATGTTCCAATGACAGTTAACTCTCTAACCAGCTTTTCTGCATTAACGTTACGCACTATATTTCAAGGCCAGCTAGTTTAACGTTTGTCAACAGTAACGCATTTTAGCTAACGTTAGCGAACATACGCTAGCCATTAACTCTAACACTCATAAAACAATCACCCGCCAACGAGTAACCATTACCATGCAAATATTAAATTTGTTAAATTGTGCGGTCTGTTAGTTAATGTTAGGTTAAGATTTTTGTCAAATATACAACGTTTTGTCAGGCAGCATCTGTTGTTATGGTTGCGAGCTATGCTAGTTAACGTTCGTTAGCTTGCTAGTTAGCGAACTCATAAACTGAGCAAGAATGTTAGCCATGCACACAAAATGCCACTAAAGGCCACAAGATAAAACAAGTTCGAAACGTGTATTTGATACCTTGCTTTTCAAATCTCAGACTAGAACACTTGATGTCTAACTCAAATACCCTTCTCTCCAACTCAAACCCTTGTCGTCTGTACTCGTCGGCCATGACTAAAACTATCCGTCACGTGAGCCAGAGACTACTCACGTGCCTCTAGCTTGTCATCTCTGTTTGCGCGTGCCTGGGACAGCTATAAAAACAAATAATACCATTATTTATGTATCATTTCTTTCACCCTTAGGTGCTGTAATAACATTAGAGCATCTTAATGCGCGCCGAGTAACGATTTTATAATAGCGTGGTAGTGAAACGGTTAAATTGTAACCGTAAGTGTAATTATTTTACCGGGCCCCCTGTTGGTCCATCCCATAGATACAGCAGCCAATGTCGTCGTGGCGCTGACATTTCTGCTTGTGAGCTGGCACCGATATCAGCCACATTTTGCGACGCTTCAGCCTGCATCATCTGTTGCCTAGTTGGTAGAGATTTTACTCCGTCACTCGGTTCACTCTCTGTGTGTAACTCTCTTTCAAACATGGCGGCCTTCAAGGTTTTGTGCAGAGCGGAGAATTTATTCTTCAAAACGCACTCTGGTCCCTCCAGAAACAAACTGAATTTTATCAGCCACCGATTGAGCAAGGTAATGCAATTTTAATCGTCAATGCAAGGTAATTTAAATAGTGTGAATAATTTGTAGAAATACCTAGGTTAAAGTGGGACCGTTGCTCATGGCTGGGCAAAAATACAAAAAGGTCACAATATCGTGAGGCGTTTAACGTTATTCACTGTTTTTGTCCCACATATCCAGAATGAACTAAATTTAATTTGGTAATTTTCCAGTCGCCGCATGTTCGTTTTATTTTACTTAACTTTACTTTTCGAATATAATATTAACTGCCATAAAGCTGTTGACTTAGCCTGACGGGGATTCTCAATATTTTGGACACATTTTGCAGCCATGTTACAAAAAGGGAATTTGGATTCTAGAAATACATGTGATAGGCTGAGAGGATAACTAATGAGGAAAGCAACTTCAGGAATTTTTAAAATCCTTTTATCCTTGTAATTAATACAGAACAAATATTTTAAAATAGTCAATAGCTCATTATGTTAAGGAATTATTTGCATGTTCACTTCTCTGAAATAAAGGACATGATGAATGAGAAGGAGCTGTAGGAGTATCAAAGTGGAAGGTGTTTTCTTCTCCAAGTCTAACCAGCATCATCAATATTTCTAAATTGTTCAGTATGTTAAACAGCCAGAAATCACAAGTTTGTCATATCACTATGACAAATATACAGTGTAATTGCAGAATACATACAGTGGGTACGGAAAGTATTCAGACCCCCTTAAATCTTTCACTCATATTTCAGTTTTTCTTTTTTAATAAATCTGCAATAATGTCAAAAATTTTGTGTTTTTCTGTCAATATGGGGTGCTGTGTGTACATTAATGAGGAAAAAAATGAACTTAAATGATTTAAGCATATGGCTGCAATATAACAAAGAGTGAAAAATTTAAGGGGGTCTGAATACTTTCCATACTCACTGTACATTTTGAATTTGTCCTTAACAAACTCTGTTGTGTTGAAACTGTCAGTTAACACATTTTGTAAGGTTTTATGTATCTTGTTCTGCTTTCTTTAGACCTGCGGATGCTTCTTTTCAGTCTCCAGCCACAGATGTTCACAGTTCTACTCAGATCCTACAGAGGCAGTAAAAGATATCCCTAATGGAGCTACCGTTTTGGTGGGAGGTAAGATCAAACAGACTCCCCAAGATTGTACGATAGATGCATCTACACCTCAGAGAAGGTTTGGAAATTTGAGAGAGGTAGATGTTCAGCAGTGTATCTGGGATTACCACTTTATAGCGAAGTGAGCTTGAGCTCTGTCTGATATGCTGGTTGATTACCATCCACACACAGATGACACACAAACTCCACAGCTCTTATTTATAGTTAAGGTCAGAGGAATGTCAAACCTTTTCCATTGTGTCACAATTCTATTTGAAGTGGAAAGCAGACAGTCAGCTTCATTGTATGTAATATCAGAAATAGGATTTGAGCCAAAGATTGCCATGTTTCTGGACTTTGGTTTTTCCTTTGTGATTTGTAATAGTTGGTGAGGTCTTCTGTACAAATCCATCATGTCCTAATCCAGGGGGTCAAAGGTTCCACTTTAAAGAACTAGATCACAATTTTCACACTTTTTGCTATCATTCTGCTGTTGCTGCACTTTTTTTTTTAATCATGCATTAAGTCATTTCTTTGTTTTCCAACACAGGTTTTGGATTATGTGGTATCCCAGAGAATCTTATCAATAGTTTACTGAAGACCGGTGTAAGGGGGATCACTGCAGTGAGCAATAATGCAGGGTAAGTGTGTGTGGAGGGCATGAGGAATTTCATACATACATGTTTGGCTGGGTTTTCAAGAAAATTGCATTGATAGAGATGGGTTTGTTTATTTATGCCCTGTTGTGTTTGTATCCATATTCATTCAGTATGTATCATGTTAAGTGTACGTTTACTTTTACCAGAAGATGTGAATTAAAACTGTTTAATGAACATAAAGCTCAGTCTGTGTTCTAAATTCATAGCCTCGCAGCAGTTAACCAAGTAATCAAGTATTTTTTTCAGTTTTGTGGAAAAATAAAATTAGTTTACACTTTTCAAACATACTGTATGTACAGTTTCATGGGGTCAGCTATTCTAGGTTCAGTCTAATGCCATAACCAAACTACAGTCTCACAAGTAAGCATCCAAGTCCTGCTACCTACAGTATATGAAATGACAGCAGGGTCAAGTAAAAAGGGGACTCAGTGAGCGCAATTCAACTTTTTTCACTCCCTTTCCAGCTTGTCTGTCTTGGTCTTGATTTGGACTTGTGATGGAGTCTTTCATTTTAACTCATTGCAGACCTGTTTTAAACTCATTAGAGAGGTATTAGAAATTATTACTGTATTTTCAAACAAGAAGTGTTGACTTGGAGAGAGTCCCTGAAGTTAGCTCCTGATAAGTAATCAGAGTTGCAGGCCTCAAAGAAATTCAGGTGATATAGTGATGTGTGTCTATGCTCGCTGTGCGGTAGACTGTACAGATATTTTCAGAGGTTTCACTTTTGGAGCATGGCAGTCAGCTGCTGTTGACCTTGATGCCTTTTTTATGTATTTTGTCTTTTTATTGCATACTTTATTTGGAGTATCTCTGAACTGGCTGAACAATACTTTTTGTATGCCAAGTGCCAGAGTTGTGCAGTGGAAAGATCAAAATACCACACACCAGTCAGTTTGCTGCAGACTCTTAATACACTTCTGTGTCAGTAGTTGTTTTACCCTGCAAAACACTGACCAATGAAGTAGGTGTGCTTCACAAAGGTTCAGTAGACCTTTCTTGTGGACTTTGATTTTTTTGGTGGATGTTGATTCTTTGAATAGCACTCCACATGTTTACTTGAGCCATCTCATCCCTCAGAACAGTCACTGCTCCCCTAAGTATTTTTCCTCTGCAAACGATGATTGTTGGAGAAGCGTGCAACCACTTGCAAATATTAGCCATATTGCCCCTTTGTGTAATTAGTGTGCAAGTTCTAACACAGTGGAATTGTTTATGCTTAATACAGTCTGAATGTTTATTTAGTTGGAACTATAGTACCCTCAAGTATATGGCTTCATCCCACTTTCATGTGAATACTGCTTTTGCTAGAGATTATACTGTAAACGGAGACACGGGCATTCATGTGGCTTGTACTGCACCAAGGGGAGGGGAGTTGAAACTTGAGCTGAGTTACCCTGACATTACCAGGGATATGTTACAAATGACTGTTGATTATTCTTATGTTATAAAAGCTACCAGGCCTGCGTGCTACAATATATACCCACTGTTTTCTTGGTCACAGCTGAATTCCTGGCTCTGTAGGGAAGAGGAATGGAAAGGGAAAGTTAGTAGTTATGTAACAGTTAGTTTGAGAGAACATTCCTAAAACAAAAAAAACCCTTGTTTCTTCTACACAGTCTGAGAGGATTGTTAATCCTTCTTCTTGTATTGTCAAGGGCTTGATTTTAAATTATGTTTAAGTTCATAGATGAGGCAGACATAAAAATGGACAAAGATCATTCTTTACTGCTTTGAGCTCTTCACTGTATAAACATAATTTCTTTCACAAAAGACTGTTACTATATAACTTTTATTGGAGGGGTGTCATACTGCAAAGAAGAAATTTGGTGAATATGATAGTTTTGTGAATAGACATATTTCCCTTAATAACCTTACATGAATGTGTATAAAAAGTAAGTGATATTTTGGCACACTGAAAAGATTGAATGCTGATATGAACAAGCGAAAATGATTCCTTGGTTTTTGTTAACATCTTGCAGCTTTATATTTATCTACTGTATAATCATCTTGAATTTTGGGTCTGCACTCATTTTGAATTTGCCAGCCTTTAGTCCTCGCACACACAAATATACACACCACTTTTATACACAAGATCACAAAATTTTAACATTTATTTTACTTGCCAAACCCCTTTAGACAGACTACACACAAATATATTATAACACTAGTGGTCTGTTTAACAGGGTACTTAGTGCAGTCTTTTCTTTTTGCTATTCTGAGTGTACGTGGCCTAGACATCTTGTCATTTGACCTGAGACAAGAGTTCAAGCCGAAGCAGTAGCTCCTGATTTTTTGCTTCTAAGGAAACAGAACAAAGGGAGTCTTCATTCGCTGCCAAGCTTGGCTGTCCTCTTGGCATTGATGGAGCAGTGGTAGAAAGAAACTCTTTTTGACACATGGTTTTACATTGACATAAAGCAAAAAAGTTTTTTTTGTTAATCCTTACTATTACGAAATGAAGGTTGGTCTGTGGAATTAACTTGATTTGATTACTCTGTTATAAGAAGAACATTGATTGTTATTACCAGACAGGGTGCGAAATAAAAGTTTGAATAGGATTTACTTGTATCACATGACAATGTGTTTTATCCAGACTGTGCTTATATAGGTTAATGACTGACCAACCACACAAGGTCAGTCATCTCATACAGTAGCTGTTAGCCCATTTGAGTATTTTAACAACCCTGGTGACACAGTAACTTTCTGTTTACAGACAGAAAGGAGTACTCACATGCTATGTTTAGGACTCAGTTTTTCTTGCTGTCAAACCATGATGGTTCGTCCAGGTTTGATGGTCTAAATGTATGATATCCTATAGTACCATTTGCTGGTAAAACCTAGAGTTGAGACCAATATGAGTGTCACAGCTTCATTAAAGTCTGCAGCAAATTTTCACCCCTCTAATGATGCCTGTTTTTTTTAATTATTCTGCAGCTGGAATTTGTCTCATGAGCTTTCCTTATCATTCTGGATAGGCTGCAGTTAGACTGGGCTTTGTCTGTCCTTAAATTCACAAAAAGGAACAGTCTCACTTGGCTTGGCCCAATCACAACCTTTAACAACCTCTCTAAGGATTTATGGTGATGTTACAAATTATGCTGAAAATTGTAGAAAATGAGGATGTTCACAGTCAAAGAGCAGGAACAAATGAGACTTAATACATAGTAGAGGGAATACAGAATATCAGTGAAGAATCTGCACCTTGTATTTGTGTGTACTGATCAAAAGCAAAAAGTGACAATAGAACTGATATGTGAAATCTGTAGGCTACACAATATAATGTAAACATTTATCTTGTGAAATATGTTTTTCCCCCTAATTTTCATTGACATGTCTATGTAAAACATTCAAATTGTGATAGACTAAAGCTATAATTTCCTGCCTTGGTATATTATTTATGTACTGTATCCTAAATGAACCCATGTAAAAGTCAGTAATCCTGTGTATACATATACAGAGTGGATAACTTCGGCTTGGGCCTGCTGCTCCAGACTAAGCAGATCAAGAGGATGATTTCCTCGTATGTCGGAGAGAATGCAGAGTTTGAGCGTCAGTATCTGGCTGGGGAGTTGGAAGTGGAACTGACACCACAGGTTGGTCAGAAAACACAGAAACCTTTATACACGGGTTTGCACACAAATAAAAAAATATAACCTCATACCAGTTTCATTTAAAATGTTTTGATATGTTAAATTCCTGCATCCAACTCATCAGACATTACACACATTTATCTCTTCTACTCGTCTATCACCTTTTCCCTCACAGGGCACTCTTGCAGAGAGGATCAGGGCTGGGGGTGCTGGGATTCCAGCTTTCTTCACAGCCACAGGCTATGGCACACTGATCCAAGAGGGAGGCTCTCCTATCAAATACAGCAAAGATGGCAGTATTGCCATCGCCAGTGAGAAGAGAGAGGTTAGAGTGCTGTCCTCCCTTGTGCCATCAAGCTCATTATAAATACAGTGTAAAATTTCTTTTGCTTGGGTGACTGCAAATATTTTTCCAGACCCTTGACTACCTTCCTTGTTGGGTGGGCTGAGAGCTGTATCGATGTGGTATGTAAAAGTGGTTTTGGATCCGCCCTTTGATTCTCGAGAGTTCAGTCATGATGCTCTGTAGTTCTTGCCAGAAGTGAAACCAAATTGTGGAAGATGCATAGAGCTACTCAGTAGAACTGGTGACTGCAGCGAATTCACATTTGTTCAATATTGAATATTCAATATTGCACTGAGAACGCAGCACAAAACTCTCTCTGAATGTTTTCAAAAGGAAACTGCAACTTGTGTGGCTAGTTGGATTGTAGCGTTGTAACACATGCAAGTTCTTGTTTACAAAAACAGTGCACAGTAACGTAGATGGTACAATGTATTGTCATGAATATTTGTTGTACAAATGATATTTATTGTGGACAGTGATGACTAATCTAGATTTGGACTCAGCTATTTGGGCCAAGTCTGACAGTGCTATAAAACACATTTACCCTTGACTGTATTCAGTGCCACTCATTCCGTTAGCTGTGTTGTCTTTGTGCACAGGTGCGGGAATTCAGTGGCAGGCACTACATCATGGAAAAGGCAATCACTGGAGACTTTGCTCTGATCAAGGCATGGAAGGCCGATAAAGCCGGAAACATTGTTTTCAGGTAACTGATAAACTAGTAAAGAGTTTTGATCATGTTCCACTAAACAGGAATAGCTGTACTAGTCACATCATTAGCACAAACACGTTTACCAGGGCCAGTTTTACCTTGTACAGGTTACAACTTTAAAGTGTATTAGAATCATCTGAGTCACCATGGTTGTGTTTATACAGCAATGAGCACATGATGCTCTTGGTGTACAGCGACTATGTGAATGATGGAAATTAGTAGATGTAGTGAACATTTTCTCCACAAGAGAGCAATAGCATCCAGTAAACTACCAGCTTATATTGGATATCACAGTGAATTTTTTTTCTCCACTTATGGTTAAAATATTTCCTTATGTCATATTTATTTAATTTCACATCTTTCTTACTTTTTCTTGTCAGGAAAACAGCCAGAAACTTCAATCAACCCATGTGCAAGGCAGCCAAAACCACCATAGTTGAGGTATGCATTTCTAATATAGACAAATGTCATATCACACGTATCTATCAGTGGAGTCACCACTTCAAAATATCGCCTCCAGCTTTCAGGTTTTCATGCCATATGCGGACTTGCATTTTCTAGGAATTTAGCTATTCTGGTCCCCACAGCTGAAATCGCTCACAAAAATATAAATAATACAAAAAAACCCCTTAAAACACACACCCAGTCATGATATAAAAACCCTGAATTAAAACCATTTTTATATCCCCTCTTGGAACAGATCTGGAATGAATTTAGGTTTCAACCAGGTAAAAGCGCTCCACCGCCTTCATCTGTAACATGTAGACCATGATGAAAACAGACATTATAGAATTGTTCCCAAGCACAGAAGAGCAGTACTCCACTACACATCTTGCAGCTGGCAGAGCAACAAATCATAGTCATCATTTCAAAAAAATGCTGTCTAACCACTTTGAAAGGAAATAGTAAGAGAAAGGAGACTCTTCCTGTTTTTTGCAGTCAGGGTCAGAAGCAGAAATGTGATATGGGCCTCTTACAGGTGAAAGGCCAGATCATGGCCTGGAAAGATCACATTAAACTGGGAGTAGTTTATATTCCTCTGAATAAACACTTAGACCCGCAGTTATTATTAATAGATTAGAAGTTTTACAAACTTAATCTCCTTCTGTTTGGCCAGAAATGGAGTGAGCATGTCCTGTCATCTCTGCGCTGTCTGTCATACCTAGTTTCATTCTCTCTGTCTGGTTACCCACCTGTCTAGTATGCGACAGTCTAGAAATGTGATTGCTCATCTCTTGCTTCTGTGTGTGTATGTGTGTGCATCTCTTGTCTCCCTCTCCACCCCTCCAACACACAGCACATATAGACAGCAAGGAGATAAAATGTGTGTGTGAAAATCATAAAACACAGGTGCTTTCTGAAAATAAATTGGTAGAGAATGTTCTCTCATAAATCTAACAGTTCCACAAAGCACATTTTCAATTATTCCACAATGACTGGACCTGAGATGTAGTTGGCTGTTGATTAGAAATGTCTGGGACCAAATTGTGAGAGCCAGTTTTCTCACTATAGAGCTGTTGTGTAGGCTTTATGGTCAATAAATCAGTAACAGTTGGTTTATAGCGGTAAGTAGAACAGATATTAATGAGTTTTGAGACAAGAGTCTTCAGCACGTCCCAATTAAACTAACCCCTAAGTTCAACTATTTGGCATTGAGCCTAATCCAGTATATGTGAGGTGACGACAACAACCACAAGGCCAGTGATGGATACCAGTAAACTGTGGAGCAGAAGGGCTATGGTCTAATAGAAATTACCCAATTTATTTTACGAGGATAATGAGGCTAGTTGTTCTTACAACAGTGATGCCACCAATACATGTGTCTCTGATGTCTGCTGGAGTTGTGATGTACATGGTAGTGACATGCATGATAATGCACAGCTCTGCTTAGAGAGCTGTGTTATGAGATGCAAACATAATTGATTGGATGCAATATTGAGCTGTCTACTTTATCCTTTGTGCACACAGAGTCAGCTGCTCAGGGTGTTTTTTGGAAAGTAGAGAGCATGGAACATGTTTGATGGTGTTGGAAACCCAGGATGCAATGGACTGAATGAATAGATGTTTTTTTTTTTTCTTTTAAATTTCCAAGTGCATTTCTAAAATTGTTATTGCAGCATTTCTACTTTCACATAATGGAGAGTGGCAGATATGATGGTAAAGAGAAAACGAGTGACATGACATGTTGAAAGTGAGATTTAGATCCTACACTATCACACTGTTCTCCTGAGACACCTCAGCTACCAAGGTCTGACAGAATTTCTAAACACACGCTCATGGTTTTACAAATAATTGCACAAATTAATGAATCTAGCAAGAACACATTATATACATCCTTTTTAATGGAGCACCAGGCATTGCAGCCTAAGGAAATGTTATTATAAATGGTGTATTTATGACAGAATGTCACATTTCAATCAGTTAATCTCACCCAAAGCACATTCATAACTTGACACAAATTGTCTTATTTTAGGAAAAGAAAGCTCTGCATTTCTGTCTGAATTTAAATGGATCCATGTAATTTGATGTTCCCTGCTAGTATCAAAACTAAGCTGTTTCAAGCAGCGTTTTTTTGCCTTGCCTTTGAAGATTTTACGTTTTGAGTACATTTGCTATTAACAACTAGTCCTTTCAGGCACTTGTCATCCACATATCAGCTAGATGCTTCTATCTGGTGGGTTGTTCATTGTAAATTGTGCCACAGTCTGACAAACAATATTAAACAGGGTTTTCAAGTGCTGAATTTACAGTTCAGTACATTTTAAATATGCCATCCTTACATTATGTGATTATTAATTTGTTTTTACTTTTTGAAGGCATGATACAAAAAATGAAAAGTGAGTTTTCTTACTCATTGATACTCTTCCACTCCTGGTATAAATTAATAAGCTCTAATGTACAATAACTGAAATTGGTGTCCAATTAAAATAGTATTTCAAATTTGCATTAGGACAAACAGTAAGTAGGTGTCTGTTAAAGTACTTGGAATCTCATTATCACCCTTTATATATGTACTGTGTGTGTGTGTGTGTGTGTGTCTTTTTCTCCCTTTTTATATGTACTGTGTGTGTGTGTGTGTGTGTGTGTGTGTGTGTGTGTGTGTGTACACTGTATTATCAGGTGATTGTGCCCACCATTTTTATGGTGCCTTTTTTTATGGTGGAGCAGGTAATATATAAAATATTATCTATGATGAGTCTACTCACTGGCGACAGTAAAGTGACCAGCATGTGTTGCAGTACTCATTATGAACCTTTTATCTCTGATAGTGAGACGATTACTGTCTCTCAGAAAATAAATTTATCTTTAGGATTTATTGCATGCTCAGTCATAAATCTGGTGATTTGCTGTGAATATTGACTGTGCTGGCTATGAAAGGAACCACAAGACATAGTCAGGTGTTTTTGAAACTATTGATTTAACTTGCATCCCAGCTTGACGACTCTGGCCAGCGTGCAGCAGCCTCTCAGACGATCATGGTAGACAGTAAATTGATTGTCCGCTTGAACAGGTTTCTTTTTCTGCAGACAGGTAGGCTCAGATTGTTCAGGGTCTAAGCACTTAATTATCAAAGGCCAAAAAATGTGAGGACATTGTGGCAGGAGACTGATGGAGCTAAGAACGATTGGGCAAAGTAAAAAGGATGCATGTCTTTGTTAGAGTCAAAGGGCAGCAACTTGGACAGCCTTTATAATTAGACCAAAACAACAAGGTTGACTTACAGTATAAGCTTCAGTTCAGCTTCAGTTAGCCCTGAGGGGCTAACAGACATGTAAATATGTACCCTGCTCACACCACTTCTGTAGGACATTAATGGCAATTTTGGCAAGCAAATTCAAATGATCTCCCAGTAGTCTCTCAATAACTGTGCAGTTGTTGCAAACCTGCAACCTTTCATGCAAGATGCTCCTGATTTAAATGGATAAATTCCTTTTAATAATAAAATGTAAATAAAAGAAAATAAAGATACACTGATTAACATTGTTATTTTATTTTAGATTCCATCATGGTAAATCCTTCTTATACATATGCTGCTATTAACTTATTAACCTTTGATAATAGCCACCACTACTGCGTTTTTCCCTCAGGTCAGTGTCTGCTAGCATATCATTGTAGTCCCTGTGGGGGGGGGTTCCCTGAAATCAAACTACAAGAGGCAAGAAGGGTGCCAGAAAATGAGATGACACAATGGCACTTTGAAAATTACCAGATCATCACCAGCTCCCAAGGTGGTTGCTAGGCAACCAAACCCTGCTATTCAGTTGTTGAATGTTCCATAGAATCCAGCTAGTCCAGTTATTCCCTTGTCACAAATACAGTGAAAGGCCCCAGTGCATTGTGGGATACAGTGCACCAGATACTGAATAAAAGCTGTGGTTTCTGCTGTTTGACAATCAGTCACAGTAAATGACTCTGTGTTCAGTTACTGTAGTAATCTAGTGTAGTGGTGTAGGTGTTAGTGTGCAGGCACAACCAGCCAGTCATGCATGAACAGAATGAATGACTTTGTGTGTTCTTTTAACCATGCTAGAGGTCTAATTGGATATAAATGACCTCCGTCCTCAGAGGTCTCAGCATCAGCCTTCTGCTGTACAAAAATAGCAGTCAGGTCTTGAACAGAGCATTTCTGCTTTACGCTTGATTAGTGATCAAGACATTAAAAAAAAAAAAAAAAAAAAAAAAAAACAAATAGAAAAAGCTATCTAGAGTTCAGCAATACATTTGGAACTTTATTTAGGTATAGGTAATGTTTTAAGTTTAGTCCAGTGTTGGGCCTTGGAGTGATAACCATTTAGTCTTTTCTGTGACACATTGCTCATGACTGAAATTTAATTACAGCCAACATTTTCTGTGCTATTTTGCAGCTTTTACTGTGCCTTGTTGAGTTTTCTTGTCTTGATGTTGACTTGTGCCCATGGCTAACTCAGTTCAAGCTCCTGTTAATTATAAATCCATTCATTTTCATCATCATTTCCCTGCCTAAAGAGGTATATGAATTAGCCTTTATGTGCATAAGATGTTCAAAGTCTGCCATAACATCTGTCTATATTTTGCACAATTTGTTGGCATGGGTGTTGTGGGAACAGCCACATTGTTTAGGTGAGCCCCTTTTTGGTTTCCTCAGTATCATCACCACAGTGTTATAAAAGTTATCTTAATTTAACAGGATTCATATGTGTCAGAAGGTGACATGGCTTTCAATTCAAACTGAATAAAAATCCTTAGTGCCTTAGTGTACCATGTAGTAATGGCAGCTACTATATCTACAAAGGCATTGCACACTTCTGTGCCCTCTTTTTTTGACATGCTATATAGCATTTGGCAGCAGAAATACAAGTTGCATCATCCCCAGTATGGTATTACTTTTTTGACTTTGAACTCAAACCTCTCCAGAGCAAGTGATGGTAATTGACAGGCTGACTAGGCTACAGTCATTGTACCTTGTTGTAATATCAAAGGACAGATGAGTATTGATGCCTTTGACATTTTTGTTTCCCCCAAAAATGTTTGTATGCTTTTTTTATATGCATGCATTGGAAGAAAATAAATGTGACACTAATAGCATTAATATTGTGCTCACACATCAATTTATTCTTTACCTGGATAAAAAATAAATGGATGTGTGAGTACAGTATTGAGCAACTATGATAGCTATAAAATTCATTTACTCTATTCTTGAAAGATGTGTACACAGCCAAAAGGTGAGCTCATGAATGAAGTACAAGCAGTAAGATTTGGTAAAGAAATAATTACAGTATCTAAAAAAAATTCCCTTACTGCTTAATAGCTTATTTAGAAAAATAAATTATTGGCGATATTGGCCATCAGCTCTTATTGATACATTTATTTGAGTATTAACAGACCAGATAATATTCTGCATTTGTGTATCAGTTCTCTGAGACTAAATTGGTATTGTCTGTCTGTCTGTTCATGTTTGTGTTGGGCCTAGTTTAGAAATTTGTGCTCATAATAAACATAAAATTCATAATTTGCATCAGGTTAAAGTAGGTGCCTGAATGTAATATGTGGGCTCGCGACTGTCAGGCCATGCCTTCCCTGCATTAATTCAGACATGAAGATGTAGTTTCATCTTGAGCTGATGAATATTTTATCACTAGTGTATCTTACAGCTCACCTTTTTAGGGATATATATACTATGGTTTGCCAAGGAAGACATATTTGCTGAACATATGCACAAACTGAATGTTTGAAATGGCAAATTTGCATGTTTTACATTATGAATTTAAAATTTTATGACGACTGCCTTTTATCTAAATCTGAAGCACACTGCATGGAGTCCTGTGTGTTCGTTGAAATATAAGCATTACCATTTGTCTTAATGCTTTGGTGAGCAGAATGTGTCATTTGAAAAATGTATTTTTAGGTCCTGTAATGTTGTCAGGGTTTGATTTGGCTGGCTGTCTCCCATTTTCTGGATACCATAAAGGCTGTCCTAGGCAAGGCAAGCTTCCACTGAGAGGAAACAGATTGCTCATGTTGTCAGTATTCTGGGTTAGAGGATAAAGCCAGAGCTGAGCCCCAAAAGTGGCAGCAGAGCATGGCCAAGTGCCCACACATACAGTACAAACACACATGCACACACACTGGGAGGAAGATGGAGAGGCTATAAATACACAGGGTAACAAGAGTGTGGTGTCGCTGTCATCCTTATGCTCTGTCGCCTGTAGCTACACCGTCTCTTTCTCCTGACTGTTGCATTTCAGTACGCACACACACAGACACACACACCCAAACAAAACAGAGACACAATGCATTATAAACTCAGCGCCACAATTAAAGTATTGGCTACTGAAGCTTTTCCAGTTTATAATGTCTCACTTATTCAAGGTGTTGGCTTATTCTGGTTTAAAACTGACAAATTCACACATGCAGTCTTGTTAAAGCCATTTTTCTCTGTGTAATAAAGTTCCAAAAAACAGATTGCTATGAAGTTCATGATTCCTTATAATTTTGGTGATGCCCAGACATTACTTTTAGGGCCACCATCAGGCCTCATTTCCAATTGCAGGCTAGGTTGGCACAGGATCAGTAGTATAGATGATGTTGCCTGTAGATGGATGAGTTCTGTCATTTTTAGGTAGATATTACTGCACTGATACTGTACTGATTTGTGTACTTGTCATTTTCTTTGGTTAATTTTAATAAGTTATTTGAATATATTAAAACGGGTGTATTTCAGATGATTGAAAGTTTTGATTGGCAGCCTGACACCGTGGCTCTGCCTCTGGTTGCTACTGCAGTCTGGTTGCAAAATGTGTCAGAAAAGCCAAGATGGCAGCCCACATATTTACAGTATTTTAGCTTTACTTTTATGTAGTGGCAGGTAGTGGTGACGTGTCATCCATCTTTATATACAGTCTACGGCCAACACAGATACTGTTAGTTAGTTTGGCCATTGGAATGTAAGCCACAATGTCAATAGGAGTGCAGTCAGCTCAGATGTATACCTTCACTTAAAGAGAATTCACAAATCAGAAAGGCAGGTGCTGAAGCTTTGTTTATCTCACTGCTAATTTTAGATCCATGTTATGTGGTCAAACTATAAATGTAGTACTGTTTGATTTTGTTTCGGTTAGTCATAGGCATGGCATATTTCCAGCATTGTTTAATAACCACAAATGGAACACTATATTCAGAAGTAATGTTTGATGGTTATTCTAGGAATGTGGTAGCATTGTGCACCAATCACCTTGAGTGTAACAAGATTTGATGAAGCTCACAGCCTAAAAAAAGCACATACTCTTAAAAAAATGCTTGTTGTGTCCCCAGAGGGCACTTTGATTCTCTCTATCCTCCTGCCAGCTCACTTCATGCCTCACTCTGCTCTCATTGATGTGAAAATTGTCTTCCAGATAGAGGAATATCAATGCGTGTGTGTGTGTCTATGCGTGTGCCTGTTTGCTTGCTACACACACCTGCTCATTTGCGTGTGTGTCTGTTGTTTTTTTGTGTGTGTGTGTTTTAGTATTTTATTTTAATGCTTTATTCGCCTCGTCCGTTGAACCTCTTGTGTGAACTACATCTGAGCAATGGTGCAAACGGGACGCATTATGCAGATGAAAGGAACAGAGGCTTTTTTTTTTTATGTACACAGCACATTTAAATTGTATGAGCTTGTTATTGTGCTGTGACTTAGCTTTGGATAGCTAATTGAAAACTGAGCTGAATACATGTGTTGTTTAGTTGTGTTTGCATGTGTATGTGAGACCAAAAAAAAACATACATGGATAAAACTCGTTGCCGAGGTGTGATTTTTGTTTTTTTTTTGTTGTTGTTGGTTTTTGAGTGACACATTATTTGACACCTTTTCATTGAAGAGACAAAACTAGGGTTTGATGCTGCTAATTAAATTCATTCATCTCAAGTCTTAAAATTCATGCCACCAAATATTTGTAGTAATTCCCTGACACACTGAGCCCAGTCTTCCCTGTTTCATTACTATTACTGTTTTATAATGTCATGTGGGGTTTTACTTGATGGAGATGTCTATGGAAACCTTCATTCTAACAAAAGACAGATTGAGCCCCCAGAGAAAGAGGTGGGTGGATGTGTGGGGCCGCTCATATCACTTCTGTCATGCTACCAATTTCATCCTGCATGGTCTAATTTTTACAGTGGACCATCAGAGTCTAAAATCACTTTAACATCCTTAGAGGCCCTGGCTCACCACAGACCAAAGCCTGCGCATCCAACACAATGCTAAGGTCGGCTCTTTGCTTCCTCCCTTAGCACTCAGCGTTGACTGAGAGGAGTCAATGGCAGAGATGAGGAGATATTCAGTTCAATTTTCCTTGAAGGGCCGTTTGCCCCTTATGTAAATAGAATAAGCAGGTTATACTTTCTGCTACACATGAATGAAGCAGAGAAAAGTAGAAGGGAGGGTGAGAAGTAATGTCGTCATGGGTTATTCCCCCTTAAGTCCCCACAACTCTATCCTTCTGTTTTCTATCATCTCAAGTGCCTTGAAATTTGAACCTTCAGGAAGAAAGGAATTGTGCCTCCTCCTCCTCCTCCTCCTCCTCCTCAAAAGAGTCTTTTATTTGATAAAGCAAAATCTGTTATCTCTGCTTACCACTGATCCCTTCCCTGCTTAGTTGTAGTCTTAAATTGGCTTAACATCTCAGGGACCACTGTGTTTAATAACACAGCCTACTGCAAAAATGACTCTTGAGTTTTAGAGCAGGCTAAAAATGAGCTGCAAGATTGAGTAGAGCCCACACATACCGGACAACTCTTCTGAGCACCTTTTATAAGTGGAGACTGTATTCTCAGTCTATAGCATTTTCTAATGTTGCCGAAGGAGGAGAGAGCAGCCGTGTTTGTTGTGGGATTTCCATCCCAGTCATGTTGACCGAGCTATGCTTGAATCAATAGCCATTTCCATTTGTGTCCTGTTAGGCAGACAGAAATAAGCCCTTATGTGCACTCTCCTTATGCTGCTGGACATTTTCTACACAAAGGTGGTGCACTTCTGCTTCAGAATCATAAATGTATTGATTAGTAGATATTTGAGATGCATATATTTCTTATTATGCAGCCATATTAAATGTGAGAGTAAGTGTTAGGGTATATTTAAGCAGTGTAAGTAGGCAATGCTAGAACAGCTCCACAGAGATTGTCAGACCTAAGCTGAGCCGAAATGTAGAGAAGAGAGTTTTAAGGTAGAGGCTATGGGATTGTCCTAAAAAGAAAAATATGTAACTAAGCATTGCTTTCCACATAAGGGCAATTTGTTTTTATTTTGTTTAGTTTGACCAAAGTCCTTCCCCCCGCCCCCCAAGATTCCAAAACTACTGTATGTCCTCACACTTCTCCTCACTATTGTCTGTGATGCCAGGATCAAGCTACATCCCCTGAGGCTGGTGTATCAGATGAACCTCTTATGTTTTAACTCTGGCCCTGGGTAGACAGACAGCTTTTGCTGGACTCAGTGGAGTTATTAAAAGAATAAATGCAACACCTTCTCTCTCAAATATTTACCCTATCTTCCGTGTGAAAGACAGTAGAAGAATTTTTTAAGCCTGTGAGATTGTATTTGGAGAAAAAATTTCTGCTTGTGCATCACAATCACTGTTGTCTCACTTTATTATTTAGTATCAAAAAAATTAAAAAGTCAGTTTCTCAAAGTAAGAGTTGAGGATCATTCTTCTTAATTTTTAACCAGCAAGGACCTTTTAGACTTTACCCAATAACCTGAAAAACAAGGTAGTTTCTTGTTAAACCTGCAGAATTGAGAAATATTTTTGTCTCTATTAGTTAATAGAGTCTTTATTAGTTAATCTGTTAAATTTCATAGCTGGTAACCAAAGGTTATTTTCTGATAGATTTACTTCATCAGTGCATGGTTTCCTTATTTGAACTTCAGTCACAAGGGGCATGAGATAAAGACCGAGCTCATCACTTTGTGTGTCTGTGTAGGTGGAGGAGGTGGTGGATGTTGGGACGTTTGCTGAAGAGGACATCCACATACCCAGCATCTACGTCCACAGGGTTGTCCAAGGACCCAGCTATGAGAAACGAATTGAGGTACAGAACAAGGCCTTCATGAATGGAGACATTTTACATAAAAGGCATGAAACAACATGTATACAATCTTTCTACATGGATTATTTTGCTATATGGGTGTGACTATTGAAAGTCATTTTCTATTAAACTGTTAAGTTGCCTAAAGTTGATTCTTGACCAATTTAAGTAATCGTGGCAGGATGTACCATTTCTGTCACTGTTCAGAAACATGCATGCACAGTTGTGTGTTTGGTATTTTCCTGGCCTAAATGAATGTGCTTACCCTGAGGCAGGAGGAGAGGCGCAGCTGAGGCAATGTGTATGCTGATTAGACAGCACAGTGCGAGTTTAGTGCTCATTCACACCCAAAATAGCAATAACAATAACATCTACTCAGTCTACCTCTTAAAGCAGTCACAGGTGCATTGCAATTTTCCTGACAAGCGTGTAGGCAGGGAAGCATGAGAACAGGTACCAAAGTGTATTTTAACAGCCACACCAACTTAAAACGAACACTTACATCCACAACTGATTTGCCAGAATACATTCTGAATAATTTATTGTGAAATTGTCATGAAATATTTGCAAAATTTTTGATTATTTTCAAATAAGACAAATAAATTAGTCCTCAGTATGTGGCTACAGATGCGAATATGGTCAAACTGTTCAGGGCACAGCATCTGTCCTTAGAGGATGCAGCCAGAAGTGTTTCAGAACCACAGGTCTGACACCAAATCCACATAAATAGGTGCACAAAGCAACATGAAAGCAACTCATCATGAGCCATGATAAATAACAGATACCTTGCACATCTCCCGATCGGTCATGTTAATCAGCAGGTCAAGTCAGTCAGATCTCACTGTGTGCTGCTGTCACTGTTAGTTGCACATCAACCTGTATGCTGTGAAGCTGTGGTCCTGTTCCTCATACATCTCTGTGTGGTTCCAGAAACGCACAATAAAGAAAAGCCAAGAAGAGAAGCCTAAACCAAAGAAGGACTCAGATATTGTTCGGGAAAGGATTATTCGCCGGGCTGCTCTGGAGTTTGAGGATGGAATGTATGGTATCCTTTGAAAAGAATACAAACAGTGAGAAAAGCATAAAATCATACCAATAGCACCGTGTGCTATAGGTGCCTCCCTTTAATTAAAGTAAAGTAACACCATACCATGTATACTGTATATACCAGAAAGTCCTTTTAGTTTAAGCATCGTCTGCACAACAAATGTTGTTGTTTGTTCAGACAACATGACAAATGAGCTTGAGGTTGAAGAGGAGGCAATTGTCTGTTAAAACCACATTCAGCATTATACAGTACATTTTTCTTCATTTTAATACTAGATTTTCATTGCATGATTACAAGTGAAATAGTTACTGTCTTTAACAAAGAGCCAATCAGCTAACTTAGGCATTGGTATCCCCATGCTGGCCAGCAACTTCATAAAGCCAGATATCACTGTGCACCTCCAAAGTGAAAATGGAATTTTAGGGTTGGTAAGATGCATACAGGGAGTTTCCTTTTCCTTCACATTTCAGTACTCTGAATCTCAGCTAAACAAGCTAATGAGCAGCAGGTTTTGTCTCTTTTATGTGGATGGTCGTTTTAAGCGGCAGTCAACATTAAACTGAATGGTGATCTGAGCATGTAGCAAGATTAATAACTATTCATTTAAGCTATGTCATTCCTAGTCCTCATTTAGAATGTATTGGGTTTGTTATGAAACAGATTGTGGCAGTTTGACACTTTCTCTTCATTTTTTTTAATGCTGCTGCTGCTGTTATGGGACCTATGGGACTTTCCAATCAGTTGTGTTGACAGGGGAATGTAGGCCTATGCTAATGCCTTAAGTTTCTTTTAATTATGAGTGCTAGTTTTAAAGAAGTATTCTTCTCCTCTCCTGTCCTCCTGCTCCCTTTGTTAAACACTGAGAAAAGCAGTATCTCGTCTAACCAGGGTGTGAGTGTATGTCTGTTTGCCTGACAGCATGTTCTTGTTTATCATTATTTCTCTTGGTATAGGGCCCATACCCCACTGAGGGCGACGTGGATGCAGACCTGATTAACGCTGGTGAGGGTCATCCTGATCAATACCTCCCCAATGATAAAATTTGTATTTGTGTGTGTGTGTGTGTGTGTGTATACATATAAATCAAAAGCTATTAAAACAGATTTTAAATCACTGATGGATGAAGATAGGCTTTTGGCTACAGTGTGATTTCCCATTGCACTCACACAGATGAATGCTCATACGATTAATTCAGATATACATTTAAAGGTATAGTCAGCAATTCTAGCAAAAGAATGTTTACATTTTGATCACCATATACACAAACGCACAAGTCGTTTTAGTCAAGATCTCATAACCACATCACTTACAATTCACGAATGCGCATTACCATTGCAATGATACTAGCAACTGGAGGAAGAGCCCATGCCAAAAGAGACATTACAAAACTAGCTAGTGGGGCACAGTGTGTGAGTAACCAGCTACAGACTCCACTGTTATTCTCTCACAACAATCTACAACTGCTATAGCTGAAGTCAAAACAACTGCATACATTTGCAAACTAGCAATTTAGCTGAATGTCCCAGGAAAAGTTGATTTAGCAAACAGGCTAATGTGGCACGGGTATTTGCTAACGTAACATTACCACAAAGACTAGCCCACAACATCATACAGTCCATAATGGCTTTCAGTGGCACATAGCAAACAATTTACCCACCTGTCCAGCAGGAAACAAGCAGCCACTGTATCCATCCTAATCCCTTTTAAATCCCAAAGTTCTCTACATCTTTGGAAAGCAGCACATAGCAATGTTGACATAGGTCTCAAACTTTGCCTGATTAACGTTGCCGTCCTTTTTTATTATCATTTTTGTGCTTCTGGCTTTCTCCTCCTGGTTCTTTAGCTGTATGGGTTGTTAGTGGAAATGCTGGAGCTGGTACTCTTTCAGCCATCGCTCCCTTTCAGCTGCAGCAACTTTGTGAATTTTCTGAACTGAACCAACCCAATCCGCCCCCCACACACACTACACCATTCACAAGCAAGACCACCTCCTTGTGCTGATTGGCTAAATTTAGCAGGGCCGACTCCGATCCCTTTCTACCTGTTGCAAGCGAGCACAGCATACACCCACCTGGGGTTTGTGGAGCACAAAAACTGAAAGGCCAGGCAAAGAAATGAGAGGAATATTTAGCCGAATATGACAAAATGCGTAATGACTTAGAATCACTGACTATACCTTTTAAAGTGATTTTAACACAGTGTTGTCATTTGACACATCTCCACTTTATTTTATAAATGCACATTTGTTTTCTTGAATCTATTCATTTATTTTTTCATTTAAAAACAGCATTGCTTATAAGTGTGTTGTTAAGATTTATTGCTGTGATAAATTAATCCCAATTTTTTTTGTTTTGCCAAAAAATCAAATGCGTTTCTCAGGGAAGGAGACTGTAACAGTGCTCCCTGGAGCTGCCTATTTCTCCAGTGATGAGTCATTTGCCATGATCCGAGGGTAAGACAATATAACAAAAGCTCTGCAAACCTGGGTGGTGGCTGAAAGTCAGATATGTCCGTCATGATTGGATTTACATGTAGACAGCTTATTAATACTTTAGCTATTTTTTCCTTTATTAAACGTCTTAGTATAGTTTATGCAAAAACAAACGGCAAACACACATGCACCTTTCCTCAGCAAGTTTTCTCTTAAGTCAGTAGTTTGTAACCTGCATCATAAGCCTACCTTCACAAGTGGAGATTTGTAACACTGGATATTAACAAATAGGCACTGTCACCGGTAGAACTAGACAGCAGTTTTGCCAATATTCCCAAGGTCCCTGGCTTTTATTGATTTGCCATCTGTCTGAGATTGCCCACCCGCATTCCCTGCAGCATCAGTTCTGTTCGCACCCCAGTGGAAATTCAATACTGCTCATAAATAGCGCTGTCCAGTCACAAAGGGACCAAACGGAACCAAACTGATTGTGTGTGCATGTGTGTTGTTGTGTGAACATAGCTAGGAGAGTTGTTAGGAAAGAAGAACACATGGTGGATTATGAGCCACGTTGCATCAAACACCATATCAGCAACTTGTCATACCAGGATTACATTTAGGCTTTGTGTCTGTTTGTGGTCTCATACCTGCTTTAAGCTGTGTGTTGCTACCTGTATTGGAGAAACAATGAGGAATTAAGATATTAAATAAGAAATAAGTGTGACTCTAACCTATGAACAGTTTTTGTTAATTATCAGTCGATTATTTGTTTGAATTGTGTGTCTTGTCATTTAAAAAGTGAGGTAAATGTAGCAATGGTATGTCCATTTTTTTCTGTGACTGGACTTGTGAGTTCTTAAGTTGAACTCATTCTGAGGATGATGGCTGTCATCTTCTTTTATGTCATTCTCTTTAGAGGTCACATCAACCTGACAATGTTGGGAGCCATGCAGGTGTCGAAATATGGAGATCTAGCCAACTGGATGATTCCAGTAAGTCTAGTTTTGATGGTACAAATCTATTATCTTTTTCCCAAATTCATACTTTCTCCTCCATCTGCTAGGGGTCAACACATATCCATATAATAGGCATATTCAAAATGCTGCTTTGTGAAACTTATAATAGTTTTTTTTTTCTCCAAATTTGTGTCAAAAATATGTTCATTCTCTTGTAATATAAATTTTGCAGTGCTGTCTGTTGGGTCACACATTTTGCTGGTAAACATGACCTTGTATCTACAGTACATACAATAGTTCTATATTTTTCTACCTGTTCTCTATTTTGGAAAAAAAAAGGCCCTCTTGGTTGAAACACAACACAAAGGTGCAAAATTGGTTGTGGTTATTGCCATAGGAATATACAGTACTTGTTAGGGGACTAAGGGTTAGAGGGTGTTTGAGTGCTGAAGTATAAATGGGTCCAACATTATTGCTAGATGTTTCATCGGGTCAATTGGACTTAAGACCACAGTGGTCACAGCCCTCGTCAGTGATTATTAAGGTCAAGAACCCATTAAAATCCTGTTCACAATGTGGGAGGGCTCAGCCAGAATGCCCCATGGCACACTGCTGTTTTCTGCTTGACTGAAGTGTGTACTGTATGCAAGTTTGTCTCAGCCAGTGCATAATTTCAGAGATGCATCTCTTCTATGCAGCTGAGTGGATATAGCCACTGGGTGTCGAAGATGATTGCATGTAGAAACCTTGAAATATATACACACATACTGTATATATAAAGCAGCTCTATGCACAGTTACAGTTCATTTTTCTTTACCTGTCTAGTTGTACTTGTTTGTCTGAGGTAATTGCTAATTAACAGGTCTTTGATTCAGCTTGTTATACAGATATTGCAGGCATGCAGTGGAGATGTTATTCTTTTTTGGGCCATTCTAGTGTTGGATAGTTTGAACAGCAAAATAATGCAGCTGGCACACATGCCCGTGTCCCCATCTATACTTCAATCTTCATTATCCTTTCTTTTGAAAGGATGGAGAGAATTATATTTCCCACCTTCTGTGATAATGAATATTATTCACTATCTAAAGATGGGTGCATAGCGTGAAATTGGAAATGTTTTACGTAGGAGTCTGGGATGCAGTACTCTCAGCGTGATTGTTGATTTTGAATGCTTTTAATATGCAAAATGCAGATGAACACTTTCCAGTTGACAGCTTTGAAATGCTTTTACATCTTCACTAAGCCTGAAACATCTGGAAAAACATTAGATGGAGAGAAATGGGTAATAGAATAAAGGATGGCATTTTGAATTCGGTGTGCTATTTTGTCATTTTGCCGCTGGGGCTTTATCAGACTGTCCTAAACATAGGGGTCTTGCACCCAGCAGTTCACAGGAGATGTCTCAAAGATTTTTAACAGCTAGCTACACACAGTTTTCAAAGTGAGGACCATGTTTGACTTGGATTTTGGCTACCTGTGCAGTGCTGCTTGAGTTTTCACTTGCTTCTTCAAATCTGTGAGAAATAAACAGATGAACAGGTTTTGTAAACAAAGTTACTTAAGTCGGCCAAGCCAATAAAAATGTATCTGGTTAGCTTAATCCAGTGGTTCTCAAAGTGTGGGGCGCGCCCCACGAGTGGGGAACAAAGACATGACAGGTGGGGCGCAATGAACGGAGAAAATAGAAATGGGTCATTAATACAAGTAAATTAAAATAACATCAGTTCGGGGCCTGGGAGAAAAAAGCGGAACCATAGTGCAACAATAACGGTTTAACGTCGGCATGTTAACTGCTGCTCAACAATATAAGGAAGCATTCACACAGAGGGCCAATAGTGTACGTAGTGGGTATAATAACATAAATTGATACATTTGTTACATGGACCACGAAAAAAGTAGGTGATTCAGTGCAAGCAGACAAAGAAACGACAGGCAGTAGCCTTATCATCCATGAAGCCAGCTGAAAAGAAAATATGTTGAAGCCCATCTTGCTCTTGGATTCACGGTAGAAATGGTGGGGGCAGAGGTGGGACCCATGTGTGTCTTGTGTCTTAAACTGCTGGCAGCAGACAGCATGAGACCCAACCAATTAAGAAGACATTTACGGACGACACACCCCAGTAACGTTAATAAGCCACTCGACTGGCAGAATACCGTCAGCAGAAAAATCGCATGGTAAAATCTGCATCAGTGGACAGCAAATCACAAATGGCTTTCTTCAAAGTTGCATACAGAATTGCACAGTGCAAAAAATGTCACACAATTGCTGAGCAGCTCCCTGCTGCTGTACACATGGTGCCGATTATGCTGGATGAGACAAGTACTGCAACATTGAAAACTATCCCCCTGTCAAACGATACAGTTGCACTTATATTTTATCTTTAACTTGGTGTTATTTGATATTTCAATGCATTTGAAATTTAAAAATTGGCCAGTTTTGTTATTTTTTTTGACAAGTGGGGCTTGAAAATTCATCCACCCTCTTAAGTGAGGAATGACAAAAAATGTTTGAGAACCACTGGCTTAAACATAGCTATGCATTTTACAAAGAGATGGTCATTCATTTTAAACAGAGAAAATGACCACTACATCAGACATACATGTATATTCCAAACCACTGGAGGTTCTGTATAACTGCAGCTTAAGTGGTGTCATAGCTGGAGCTACTGACTATTAAAATGCAGTTACTTCAGTAGCTCAAGTGCTCATGATAGGGCATGGTGGCAGCTTTAATTAGGGAGCTGCTCAAGAACATGTTTCTTAGAACTTGACTCTCTTTTCTGCTGTATCATAAAAAAATCTACCTGGACATTTTTTGTCATGTTATCATCAGTTACAGATGTTCTGTTAGGAATTTGTAATAACAAAAACCTCAGTGTCTCTGTGTAAAAAGGTTTAAATGTTTAGTTCTTTGTTCCCCATGTACCAAAATGTGTGCAAGCTATGTTAATCATCTTTGGCAGCTTTTTGTAACCCCAAAAAAGGAAACTGCAATACGACTAATTTACTAGAGCATATGAGAAGCAAGCTTTTATTCATTATTGCCACATATTACAGACTTCCCTGTCTCTGTTTAGAATTTCAAGTTCAGTGGAATTTAAATGTCTCTTGTCCTTGTTGGGAATGAAAACGTTGTAATTTCTTGTAGAAGATTGCACTGTATTCACCAGTTATACACTGCAAACAGTTATGTTTTCCAGTGCCCATTATCTTCTTGTCAGTCCCATCTCACCCTCTGATTCTTGTCATTAGTTGTCTGGGTAACGAAGGCTTGTGGCGGTCCGTCGCTATGTTATTAAATAGAGCCATTTGTATCAGACAGCGGAGAATGTCAAAGAATTTGAGGGGGAGAGAAAGAAAGCCAGTTGGTAAGTAGGAACACTTGGATTGTGAAGGGGGTCATTTTCTGTGGTGTCTCTGCCACTGACTGGAAAGTGAACACTTGCACAACAATTGAGGAAATCGTATTCTGTTGTCATGGCAACATAAAAAATGCAAGCAACCCCTGAGCCTTGTCAGAGAAAAACAGTGCTAGTCAAAGTATGCGTCCCACAATGCTTTTCTCATGCATTAGTGCCACAGCAGCACATTGGAACACCGGTGTCACTTATGTTGTTGAAACGGTCATGTCTGACTGATTTGACTGATGGCGGCTTTCTATATATTCCCTTTGTTGAACTTTTGTATGCAGTGATTGCTTTTAAAAATGTCAGACTTTGAATTGCTTCATTTGTTACTCTATTTTCCTGCGCAGATGGACCAACGGTGTTGATTCTGCAGTGCAGTATACCACAGTTTCCTGGTTGTTCCATGCTTTTCCTTATAAAATGCGAAATAGGTAATGGCTTACTGTAGTTGTGTGCCATTGGCGGCTCTCTGAGAAAACCTTTTTGGCTGAGTGGGACTGACTGTCATTGCCTCTGCTCTCACATGCTATGATAGATGTCATCTCAACAGAGCTTTAACTTAAGAAGTCTTCTGTTATCTGGGTTCTTCACCACTGATACTGCTTCCTGCAGTCCCCCACATTATCTCTCACTTTTAAAGCCATTATATGAATGGACATTCCATCTCTAACACCTAATTAACATATGTATAGGTTACTGTAATCTCCCTCTGGCGAGAATTAATTTCAGAGGGAGAATTCAGTAAGACAGCAAAAATGGAAAATGGATCTTTCAAGAAAAAATTTAACATCCATAGAGCTACAAAGTGGAAAATTAACATAAATTGCCTTGAATTGTTGTAACTGAATTGCACTTTGAGTAGAATTAGGTCTTCAGTAATATGTTATAAAACAATTCAGTAGTTCTGCCTATGTATGAATGTGAGCCTATTGTATTACTATCACTGCTTAAAAGAGATCTCACAGCATATTTTCATGTGTGTCTTTGTGGTAATGAAATGTGTTTAGATACCCACTTTCAGGTGACCTAATATCCTCACGGTGCTAAGATTAAAGCAGGCAAATGGACACAATCTGAGTGTTGAAGGAATTTAAAAACCTGTGGGGCTTCAGTCAAGCCAGCAAGGTTAATATAAAAGCCATGTTAATTAAATGGCTAAATTACTTGCTCTTTTTGGTGACTTAGGCAGAGGATATCTCTTTCTCTGGATATTATTCTGTCTGTATTTGTTCCACTTGAATGCATTCCTACACTTTCTGCTGGGTGAAAGCCAAATGCTGTGGCAACCTCCATGTTAGAGTCTCCATTATTTTTATCAGTGTGGCATAATTGTATTCTATAAATCTGGAAGGCCTCCAGTGTTAAGAGGTTCAATTTTTGGCTGCTACAGTTGCAGGTGAGCAGATTCACAGAAGCCTGGCAACCAAGCCCAGCCAGACAAAGCAAGTCTAACAGACAGCCAACTAAAAGTTAAGACTTACTTGAATTGTCAGCTGGATGGAATAGGTTATTTTAGCATTTTATAAATATGTTCTTTATCACAGCCATACAGAGTTTTTACATTGTTCTAACTGGCATTGTGTCTGGCATTGTTTCATTTTGAGCTCTTATATCAGATAATGACTGACAAGAGACTTGTTTGTAAGCTTGGCTGCTAGCAGCAGTGCTAGCAGTTTGGGACTGCAGACTTCAGCTTTCTGCAAACTGGGATGGTGAGATGGTAACTGCTCAAATAGTGGGAAAGGTTTGTTGAGGTTCCCGTCATCTTCAGGGCAGCTCACTTGAATATCTTGTACTGAACATCGCTTTACTATTTATCTTCAAAAGCAAATCATTGTCATCATAATTTGAATTATATCAGCAACTCAATACAAAGGTTTGAAAAGACACTTGATGCCTGCATCTTCAGTTGGAGAAACATACAACCATTTATAGTAACTGGTGGTTCCAGTTAAAGTGTCGTTCCCCTTACAGCAAAACATGATCATTTGTAATTTCCTCCATATGTACATTGTTTATTTTTACTCTTTTATTGATCATAACCAGACTAGTAATTTAACAGAAAGCAGATGCCCTTCTTGTTTAATGGCAGGCTAGTTGCTGGGAGGAATACATTAGCAGGTGTCTGGCTCACACAGCTGTAAATCTAGACTTGGTACTATCAGGTCAGACGGTATTATCCCCTTAGGGCCTGGGCACACACCACCCAGCCCATTGACTGTCAGAAAGTGCAATAACATTGATCATATGAAAACAGAACACTTTCTTTTTAGAGATTAATCTGAATTTTGTTGAATGGAAAAAGGTGGAGAGATTGTATTTTAAGGTCAGAATAGATGCTTTTTAATAACAGGGTTTAATGGTTTTATTTCAGGGAGTCATATGAGATGTTATATTAGGCCATTTTCAGTTGTTTCATAAGATAATGCAATAAAATATATGAAACGCAGCCTGTCCCGTATCAACAGTGTATGTTTTCCCTACTTCCTCTGCCCCATCTCCCCTCTCCCAACCCTTCTTCCGCTCTCTGTTGATATCTTCTCCACCCAGCTGGCCTCCCCGGAGGCAAACGGAATGCTTATGAAGTGCCACACTTGGCATATATATCCTCTGGTTATCAAGCAGAAAGCAGATCAGGCTCTTCACATGATTGATGGGCAAATGGGATTTTAATTCGGTTACTCAGCCATCACCTTGTGGCCATATCTGCATGCCAGCCTTCCTTATTTGGAAATGATCTATATTCAAAACAATGAGGGCCTTGAAGACAATTTTTCACCCAGCTGGCACTTCTGTTGCACTGATGATCTTGCAGATTGTTTTTCTTTTTACTTTCCTTGGCTTCCTTAAATAACCCTACTGCAATCTTATTTTATTTTTTGAAGAAATCATTTATTTTATGTGCACACTGAATTGTAACCTGCCTTAAATGAGAGATTTCAGACATTTTAAAGCTCCTAGTTTCACCATATTCTTTTAAATAACATATTGGCAAGTTGAAGTTAAAAAAGTGAACACTGGAGGATGTGCCCTAACGTTAGCTTGAGTGCAGATGCTTCGCTGCTTGTTCTTCGTATCGCTTACATTTCTTTGTGATTGGCACTCTGTTTTTCTGACTAAATATGACACAGTGGTCCCTGGACATTGTGGATTGTTAGGACTATAAAATAAATATTGGAATCTATAAAAGAAACTGCTATGATCACAATTTTAAGACTTTATGCTCTGTTAATACAAGTTTTAGCAATTACTACTAACTTGGATCTGTGATTTACACCCAGCAATGTGCTTTAAAGCTACATTAGCTTACTTCTAATTTTTGATCGTTAAGGGTGAAATGAAAGTCAAAACAAACTCAAGGAGTATCCCCTCCTGTTCTTCCTCTGCACCTCTGTGCCCCTCCTGCCCTGTCTGAAACTGTCATATGCGGTCACAACAGCTAGAGACAGTTGTGGCAATCAGGTCACGCAGCAATAATAACCATCTCCAAAACAAGTGTATACAGATTAGAGAGCCCATGGTTTTTGGTGGCATTGCAGTGACTTAATGTCAAAAAGGTTTACATTTTATCGACATATTGTATGTCTAACGTTGTTTGGAGCAGATGTATTGGCAGTGATACAAGCAAACTATACAAAGTTTCTCCTAGTAATATCGATACAATACTAATGCTCCTACCACTGTTGCATCATGTTCAATGTCACATACTTAGTGGTTTTGCCTTGGGTTTCTTTTTTTTTGTTGCACTTTTTCTGTGCAGCCTCTTGGATCTAACAGGTCCACTCCCATCCTGGGTGGTTCCTACACAGGGAGCCCCCACAGTCTGTCCTTGAAATGAGTCGTACTGGTTTAAAAAAATGCCTTTTATAACCTTGGTTCAGTGGGGACGGAAAAGAAGTGCGGTGCAGATTTTAATAACAGTGGGCACAGAGGGCAAGAAATAAACACAAGGCCTGAAGATAGCAGAGTGGGGTGGGGGTTGGTATAGAGAGGCAGAAAACACTTCTAGACATTTTTTTTTTACTTGATTTGTCCACATTTGTGCAAAATCTTAGTTAATGCAGCTTTAAAGTTAGGATCGTTTATGCATCTCTGCAGAGGGCCCAATCACAGCGCCAAGACTGCTCCCATAATGTTTCTAAATTAATCTGAATACTGAGAGATCGTTTTACCATTGAGCCACAACATTTTGAATGTGTACTTAAAGTATAAGAACTGTGAGGTTTGAGGACGTTACTTCTCGACTTAAGGGTCGGGTTCACCCCATTACACAAAGCATATTTTCCACTCACATCCAGTGATGTTTATCTGTCCAGATAGCTTTGGTTTAATTTGCTCAGGTTTTGACATATCTGTCCTTGACATTTCTCTTGGTGCCCTAGTACAAAGGTGTTGAACGTAATTTAGTCTGTGGTGCTTACTGCATGGAAAAAAAATGCACTAAAAATTACATTCAACAGAAGCGTGTATTTGCAGAAAAAGCCTCACTTCTGCTCTGCGTAATCCACAGACCATACTTCCAATAGTTTTCATTGGAGCTACTTTCTACCAGAGAAAACAGTCCCCACTAAAAGTTGCTGAGTTTAGCAATGCTATTATAATGGACCATTCCTCTCACTTCTAAATATGTGGTCTAGATTAAACTGGAATTGTTTGAAATTAGTTTGCTCCATTTTGCATTGCACCCAATGCCTAGCTGTGTCACTGCATCTCCTTATTAAGTTGAAAAGTAAAATATTATACTAACCCAAAGGAATAATGATAAGAACTACTATAATAGGAAGCAGGTTGGGAAAACAACAACATCAAAAACATTTTCTTTTAAGGTGCTCTGGATTTTGAGGGATGGACGTTATTAGTGCATTTCATAATCTTTAATTGGCAAACCTTTGTGATGTTGCCACTGTAACCTCACCGCGTTTTTCTAAAGATCCATTCTAATCTTTTTCTCCTGTTCTCTCTCAGTATGTGCCTTTTGTGCTAGAGCCGGAATAAAATTGGGCTTTAGTGAGCACAAAAGATTGGAAGATATCCTTGCATTCAAGATACAGAGCAATTTTGTAAACTACTTTTATATTTTTGAATGCTGTCTATTTAAATAGGTACAGTTGTAGAAAAAGGGTATTACTGTCATGGCTTTTCACCCTTCTAAATAAATGTTTTTGTTTACTTATTTGTATGATTTTGTTACAACTGTTGTACATTGAATTTTATGGTAACTTTTAGGGCTGTAGATAATGTCAGTTTTTAATGGGATTGTGTTGTGTTCCTGTCATTTTGTCTGTCCTTAAATAAAGCATATAACTGAAGGCTAATTCTTTTTTACCTTCCATTTTTAGGGTAAGATGGTAAAAGGAATGGGAGGAGCCATGGATTTGGTGGCTAGCGCTGGCACCAAGGTGGTGGTCACCATGGAGCACTCAGCTAAGGTGTGTGTGTGTGTGTGTGTGTGTGTGTGTATATGTAATAAGGAGTGTGAGTGTGTTCTTTTACCGTGGCTGTTCTAACCAACATTACCTCTATAAACTATCTCAAAATATTAATTTCCTTTCTCAGGAATTTAGGTCAAAAATAAACTGGCAATTTCCTTTCCCCATGTTAGTGCCATCACCAGCGTATCTTGTATCCGTTTCCACAATAATGAGTGTGAGTGTTATGACTGATTTAAGGATAATTGCATTAATGGATTACTTATTGCCTCTTTACTAGAGAGCCCCGGCTCATCCTGATGAAGTTCTGCACATAAATCATCTCTTGTTCATTCGTCTTTGGCTAATTTAAATTCAAGTCTAGAACTGGACTCAGTGTTTTGGGAACACCTGATTAGTTAGACTGGTGTTGCTGCTGCTACAGATGAATAACCCCACAGGGCTTTCTACAGTGGCAAAAGGCAATACAACTGGATTGTTTACTTTTAGAAAGTACAGAATGATGTGATGCAAGGGCATCGTAACATTCTGCATTCACAGAAGCATGCTGTTTTTTTACTAATGGGAGCCTGTCTGGCACCCAGCTATAGTCCAGATGGTACAGCAGGTGAGCATAAATTTATTGCCCTGAAGCCTGTTTTCATTCATGATAGTGGAGGGGGTGGTATACAATGTCTGCTTCTCAGTGAACATCAGAGGCTTTTGGATGTGTGCTTTATTCTTGAAGATGACTGGTGGGGAAGCTGAGCTATACACTGAGTGTACATAACCAGCTGCATCCCTAGACATTAAGACATAACTTGAAAGTAACATGAAGGTATTAACAGTGTTTGGAATGTCTGACAGGCTTTATCGGACTAAACCGACCTATAATTTAGTCTTCTTTTTTTTTTTTAACCAACCACCCTTTTCTTTCAGGGAGGAAAACACAAGATAATGGATAAATGCAGCCTGCCTTTGACAGGAAAACAGTGTGTGGATCGGATCATCACAGAAAAGGTGTGGTTTATCCTTGTTTAATGTATATGTGTTTTATATATACAAATATGTCTTCATCAGCTCGCATTTAAAATGGAGCCCTTAGTCTTAAACTTAAGCTGCTTACTCATGGTTACTACATAGACAGTGCCAATGAGTAAGTTACTGTGTGGATGAGCTCCTGGCCTATAATAAGTCTATAATCTGAATTTGGGAGGCATGAGATAATTTGTGCAAGTGGCATAATTAACATTATTTTAACATACATTTTTGGATACCCGATAAACAGCAATAGTTCATAAATACAGTCAAAAGCACCCAAATGTGGCCTCCTTAAGTCAAAACTGGTTGAACCTATACATAAACTAGTCTGCAGCATACGAAGTTCCCTTGTCACATTCCTTTGTCAGGGCTCTGCTTGTAATGTTTTCAATGCTTGTTCTATAATATTAGTTGTAGCCAGTTGGCAGCTGTATGTCTTTGCTCTGGTGAAAAGCTTGACAGACCTTGTAAATCCTCATAAGCTGTAAGATCATAACATCTACCCCAGACTCGTGTCAGTTGGGTCTTGAGTTCACACCTCTGAAAGTATTTTTTCCTGGAAGAATTGGGACTTGCAATCTAAGTGTGTTGTTTTCTATGCATGCTCAGTGTTCTAGCCAAAAGGCCAGTTTTGCTTGTCACAGTGATGACCACAGACACCATCAGTCTCCATCAGTGGTGAAGGTGGCCATCAAGCTGAAGAATAAGGGCTTTGATTTTGTTTTGTTTGAATTTCTTGCATTTATGTAAAGCAGCTTGTGTTGCATAAATTGTGCTATAGAACAAAATTTTACTGTTATGGTATTATGCCCTAGGGACCCCTGAATCAGCAGACATTTTGGAAGGCCAAGACTCAATCTTTGTAAATAAAACTGACCTGATTAGATTTTGGTGTGTGTGGAGGTTGGGGATGCCATGAGAAGAACCTTTATTTGGCCTCAAGGTCATTCGGCAATGTAAGAAATGTTTGAAGGAACTCCTGAAACCGACTGACATGGCCCCCCAGCTCCCCACAGTTTAAGATCTGCATAGTGAGACGTAAGAATGTGAAAATATTTAGTAACCTAATGAATATATATCCCCATTAACAATAATATGTTGTCATAGAACATACGGTGAGGATGGAAAAATGTCATCAGAATGAGTCTAGCTATGGAGGAGCATGAATATTATCATACACAATCATATGCATTCCCTCAGGAATTGTAAATCCAGCTAAACGGGGTATTAGTCCCCAGAATTCCAGTTACTGGTAAAACTTATCTTGTCAGACAAGTGCTCAAGACAGTCCAGGGGAAATAGGCAGAGGGTTAGCAATAGTATAATGCAAGTGAAGATCGAGGAGAAGTGCAAATATAAAAGCTGATTGAACAAAGTTGCAATAGCTACTGTAGTAGAGTTTTGTGCCAATTTATCTTTTGTGTCCTTGTGTACTCTGGTCAATTCCCTGCTTCCCACTGGTCTCTGCCTTTGGAACTCGCTCATTGAAAACATGACCTGTCCGTGGCTGTTTTTTCCTTTTTCACCCCCACCCCCCTTCTGTTCTTTTCTGCTTGGCTGGCTTTTGTTGTGATTGCACAACATTTCACAGCCAGCAGATTTCTGTCAACATTTATAAAGGTTAAAGCTCTTTCTAATGCCTTGCTAGCACTTGTACCACCTCCTCTCTACTTTATTCTTTTCATTTCCTGCCACATTCAGTCCTTCTCTGACCATTAGTATAGTCTTCTGTTATTACATTTGCAACCTTTTGCTTTCTTTACACTGACTTGAATACTTACATTCCCTCATTTGACCTCAGTTTCTCATTTTCTTCATCTCTGTAATCACAAAGTTTCTTCTCACTTCCTCATCCTCCCTACTACTTTTCTTACCTCTACTCTTTAAGTCCTCTTCTATTTCATTGTTCTGACTCAGTCTGTTAAGCTTTTGAATAAATATGAACATGTTTTTTATTTCCATTTGGTCTTCCATCCACACCAAACTGACATTATCTGTCCCTTAATCTAAGCATTTTGAAAACTCTTCATTTGAGACTGATATGCCCTCTTTGTAATTTGGACAGGGAAAACCAAGCTTTTCAAAAAATCTGACATGTGACTGTCAGCCTCTCAGATGCTGCCAAGCACTTACCATATACTAGGAAGCAATGTTGAGAAGCCAACTTTGTCACCTCCAGCTCTCAATACGGTTTTGAAAAACAGTATATCCAACTGTGCATTAAGGGTGTTGTCACTGACTTGTTTAGCTGGTTGTGTTAAACAGCAGAACTATAAAATAGCGATTTGACTGAGGATGTCAGTGTAGCAGCTCAAGAATTAGTTAGAATAGTTAGCTGGCAACTTGTGAGACAGTCAAATTATGACTTTTATACTTGTGACTGTCAGTTTTTATCCTTTCAGAAACCTTAATGATGAGTTAGAAAAGAAGAGTTAATTTTTTTTTAGACAGATGAAATAGTCCACAAAAAAAGTTCTGGCAGTGACACATTCACAGACTTTACATTTGACTTCTTTTTTTTCCCCCAGCAATCCTGTTTTGAATTATTCCTAAGTGGAAAGAATTATTCAAATTGGATTCAACAAATATTGAACCTTTCCTGTTGAATAATAATGACAGTGTTGAACACAGTGTTGATCAGATATCTAACCACTGACAAAAACCGCCCATCATCATCATCTACAAGAACAGCCAGTATTATTTTCACTAGGTGTATAGTATGTGTTTGTGGCAATGCTGGGTGCATGAGCAAGCCTGATAATGTTTATCCTAAATGTGTTTTCTACTGGTTGCTGTCTTTGCATGATTAAAATCTCTGGTCCAATATGTGTCCTTCCAAACTTGTTTAAAAAAGCATTATTTTCCCAGCACACAGACACATGTACAGATGCTGACATAGACAGTATATTTTCAAAAACAAAGCATACTCCTTGGATTGCAGTGGCTAGGAGGGATGGTGATTCAAATGTTGTTTTAAATGGTGTTGCCATGATTTTGACACCCGGGTTAGTAGGTCACCTGTGGCCTTAGGCAGTGTCTCTGCTGCTTCACTATATGGTTGGACCATGTCATGCACCATGTTATCATTTCTTTCTTTTAGCCACAGTTCCACTGTTCACAGGCTTGTTTTATTACACTTCTCACTGACATGATGGAGTGTGTTTGTGTTCATCATGTGTGCAGTAATAAAAATCACTTTTTTAACCCCTCGTGGGTTGAATTTTTGCTATGACAAAGATCTACACAATAATTCTCTTGGTATTTTCTCCTCAACAGTTAAGTGATTTTCTTTTTCCAGGTTTCAAAGATAAAGTAAAAAAAACAAAAACCAATTGCCTGTGTTACTCCCAGATGAAGCAGAACGACTCCTGAATTATTCAGTCATCATAATAGGCCCAGGAAACTGTTACCTGTGGCATTTTCCATAATGACAGCAATTCCAGTGACAGCAATTATTATTCCAGCAGCCAATTTGAAATTCTTTTATGGTCCTACTGTGTGTTTTTGTCTGAACACATCTCAAAACCAGCTCCTCCTAATTGCTATAATGCATTGACAGGATGCAGGATAGATTTTTGAAGTTTATTTGTTAGAGAGCAAAATGATGGTTTCCAGTACCATTTATCTGAAGCATGAAGTTTGCTGAATGATGGTGACTTATTGTTGTTACATGACATTCAGCCCACTTCTCATCAGACAACACATGGGGTAGACTAACAGTTTCCTAATGACTAACTTGCGTCAGTCTAGTTAATGATGGTGGTGACTAAAGACCAAAGAAAGGTTTCACAACAAAAGGCTACTTTGCAAATGGAAACCGTTTTTTGTTTTATTCCCAGTAGTAAATTAGGTCTGTCAGTAGTTCATTGCATTAAAATATACTTACCCAGACTATTTTGTGTCAATGCTCTGTGCATTTTAAAGCAGAGTGCGTCAAACTGAGCTCATATGACATACATCGCCTGCCATATCTGCATACTGTTATTACACCTATATTGACCACTTCTGGCGCATTTGGGCAGGTCTTTAATTTTCCTTAATCTCTCATGACACATGTCAAAATTGAGGATGTATGTCAGTGTCAGTGTTACCCATAGGCCTTTGTTCATTGTGACATTCCATCTGTCTTGCTATATTGGAGTGAGATATCTGCCTCCTGCTCTGTCACTGTGTGTGTGTGGTTCTAATGAGCTGAGAGTCCTGACAGGCTTTGACTGGATGTGATTGTGACTTTGGCCTATCAGTCCCTGCTAAGACAAGCCACAGGACCCGGCTCAGCTGAGTGTGCCTGTCCTGTCTTTATTTAGTTTTTTTTGTTTGTGTTTTGTTTTTGTCACCACATAGAATTTTCCTTGCTGTTTTTAATGTACATTCATTCTGATATGATGCCTAATGGCTATTTTATGTTCACTTAGCTTAAGGTGCTCCACAAAAACACTTGCGTAGTGCGCCTAGGCCTCTGTATGACAGGGACTCCCTGCTCTAAAGTATGTTGTAGTGTTGTAAAGACATACCTAATGTTTAGGCTGAAAATCATTCCCAGTCTTTAACCAGTCAGCAATCATGTAGGAAACGACGAGTACGAAGAGTGCGTTGCAGTATCGAGGATCATTATTCACTAAAGGTTCATGAATCCAAGCAAGACGAGAAGCTAAAACCAAAATAGTGTTTGAGACAAGATGATACTCTGTGCAGAACAAACTATATTACTCTCAGACCATCATAGAAATGGCATTCACAGAAGAAGAAGAATTATTTTGGCTCATAAAAGAACGTCTGTTGCCTGAAGATACTTAACAAGCATTAGTGTGTCAGATTGATTTTCTCTTTTGTTGCTACTCTTCAGGAGACAGAACATTACTTCTTTTTTTTAATGGTACTTGTTTGGGTCTGGCAGGATTCTTTATGATAATTTACAGAAGGTTTCCATCTTTCTTCTACAGGGCCGATGCTTTTGGCCATATACTGTACTGTCAAGTATTTCATTACACTTGGATTGTAAAATCTCCAGGGCCATCATTTATGAATTGTGCACACTGTTTTGTGCATGCAGTAATGTGTGTGTGTGTGTGTGTGTGTCTGTGTGGACGTGTTTTTCCTGCTACGTGGAGACTTCTTCCTGACTCCATACCAACTCATGAGGACCCATTTCACGGTGGGGACCTAAATTGAGGTCCCCATGGGCAAGAAATTGAATTTTAGGGTGGCAACATGGTTTAGGGTTAGGTTAAGGTTAGGGTCAGGGTTAGGGTTAGGCAAGTAGTGGTTCTGGTTAAGGTTAGGGTTAGTCTACAGGAAATGCATGCAAGTCAATGTCAAGTCCCCATGGACTACGAAACATAAACTGAGTGTGTGTGTGTAAGCTTAGAGGCAGATCTATCACTTTTCACTTGTTAATGTGTGTATATTCACACAAACTCCTCACAGTGCACGTGCACAAATGAGAAGTGTGATGACACTGATATAAATGACCAGATTAACTACAGTAACTCACTGTGCTATTTTTAAACATGTCAACATCATTGATAAATAACCATCAACCATTTTGTCTCTGCATCTTGTCACCCACCCCCATCTCTTGCTTTCACTCTAAACATCCCTCTTTCTTTCCTTCTCCCTCTCATTCTGCCCTTTCTATCTACCAGGCTGTGTTTGATGCAGATAAGACAAAAGGTCTGACTCTGATAGAAGTATGGGAGGGGCTCACTCCGGAAGATATCAAGGCATGCACTGGCACCGATTTTGAGGTGAGTAACTTAGCAGTTTTGTTATCAAAATTGTATATCAGTTTCTAATTTCACGGATCCTAACCAGATTGCATCCTTTTTTTTCCCCCTTGTGTCCAATGTGGTGTCTTCTAGGTGTGTCCCAATCTGAGGACCATGCAGCAAATCTAGAAGAGCTCACACTGCATCTGAGTTGTCTTTCTGGTTTGTGTCACTTCATTTCTGTTGTGATAAGTAGCTGGTAATTTAACCACCTGAGATCGGTCAGATAAGTTTATGAAATAGAGATGTTCAGTTTAGTTCCCTGGTAATCAGCATACAAATAACAGAAAGGTTTAGTCCCCATTATTATGAACTGAGTAGGGTTCACAGGGGAAAAAATGCTTGCTTTGTTTTTATGATCTAGGCTGATTAGGGAACTTTACAGTGTTGCCAGCTAGATACTGTTAAACTGTTCATTTTTACTAATGTTTGTGGAGCTTTTACAGAGCCATCCGATCTTAAACTACAAACTGGGGTTATTTCTTATAAGTACCCTAAAAAAAATGCAGCTAACAGCGCTATGAAAAAATGATGCAGTAATTAATGAATACCTGGTTAATATGATTCAAGAGACTAAGATCAGTAAACTACTGTAACAGGATACAGAAAGCTTAAATGTAATGAATTCAGGAAATTAATGCTGTAGGTCAGGTGATTCCTAATTTAGTACATAAAGGAGTGTGTACAGTATTTAGTTGTTTAAACATTGTGTCCCAGTTAAATGAAACGTCCTTGGATTATGCATAAGTGAATGTGGACATGCAGGTGACCGTTTTTCTCCATTTGGAAAATGAAGGATGAAGGATAGCAGTAAGGGTCATGTTTGTGATAATCACCTCTGCTGCACTGTCAAGCTGTTTGCTGAACTATGTCAACCGCCACTTTGAGCATGCCAGACATTTCAACCTTAACAGCTTTTACTTGTACATTTCCACTTCACCAACCTCTGTATTAAAATAAAATACAACCTTGTGTGCTGAGTAGAACAAGTGGAATTATGTTTTGTCTAAATCTCATGATTTCCAGAGTCTAAAACACAACAACAGTAGGCAAATTATTAAGCTCATCAAATCACCCAACTGAAAGCGAATGACTGCTTTGAGACTGATGGGTTCTGACACCACAGGTTAGAGCTTACTATATATGGATGGTGGGCTTACTCCACTTGAGTAGAGAGGCGCCGACATTACCTGAGGACTGTTACACAACTGGAGAATTCAGCCTGTGGGCTTTTGAGTTCAAGGAGATCAGCTGGGGTGGATGATCAAGCAGAAAAAAATGGAAGAAAATGGCTGAGTGCCGATAGCTTTTTATATTAATTCAGCACATCCCTTGATGAGTAAAACCAAAGTGATACTCTATATAAACAAACTTTGTGACCTTTTTGTAATTTGTAGGTATCGACAAATTAATTTAAGAATCTTAACAGGAACAAATTGAACATGAGCAGCATATGAGCACAGTTTTTAACATTAATTGTAAATCGGTACAGTAGGTGGTAAGGTAACGAGGTCACACAGCTGTAGCGCCACCACACTGAAGAGTGTGAAGGCAGTGGCTTTTTGGACACTCGGGTTCATGACAAGCTACTTGGAAAACTGAATAGTCTGGGCTAATTCAACTCTTTGATGGCAACTTAATCAAACTTACCAGGTTTGATAACCTCTGAAATAGCAGCTACAGTGACAGTGAATGTATCATGTCTAGCTATTTGACTTAGTGAGTTACCAAACCTAAATATTTAAGGCAATATTGTTCTGTTTATGCACCCTTTCATTTATATTAGATAAGTTAATGCCTGTTGTTCTTTGGGTTTCACTGCTTACGCTATTCTCTTAAATGTGATGCAAGCAGGGCTGGCTTTAGCCTTAAATCAGTGTGTTGCATCTAACTAAAGGTAATCACTGTTAAACCACAGTGATATATGTATTGCCCTGACATAGAGTATATAATTTAGAAGTATTTGGGGACAGCATTGAAAGTGATTTCTGATTGTGCAGTGGTTATGTCAATATTGATTTTGTGTGTCCCCAGTGGTTTAATCAGATCAGCCCTTCTTCCAGTGGCACATCTCATGAAACATGATTACATAAACACAACCAAGTGGGAAATGGACAAAAACAAAGCTTAGTGAGGCTGTAGACAGTCACCTAGTTTGCCTTCATCATAGGATGCCACTGGATGCAGGTTTGAAATGGATCCTGTGGAGAAAGGTATGTGTACTGTAATGTTCAGCCAAACATCAGGATGCATACCTTGTCAAACCTGCAGATTTTGAGATATATGCCATTGTGACCTAATTTTTGAATGACTCATGTTAAGGTTGCCAGTTAGCTGGTTATCACCACAGTGAATATGCCAGTTATTAATTGTTACTGTCATTAATTTCAGTGATAATGAATCACTGGCATAGCTTGGAATTAGGTATGAAACCTTGGTATTCACTGTTTTTAGCCAGCCTCTAATTTCTCTACATAAATACACATGGGCTTTGATATAGCCCCATCAAACTATGTTGTTCCAAAACCTCACGTTTAACAAAGAGCCATTAATTGGTAGGTGTTTGTCTGGTCGCCATGTCTAAAGCGTTATGAGAATAAGAATAATGGGTTGACTCATTTCGTTATGTGTAATAAATGGTAAAACCATGAATTATTCATGAGGCTAATATTGGTATTGTGCCAGATTAGGCGACTGAAAACTGAAATATATCTTAAATAGAATGATATTACTTGTTTTAGAAATCCACCTATCGAATGTTGCCATATTTGGATCAGTGCGACCGCATTTTCATAATTGTGCTCTCCGCCGATTTGTACCGCTCTTGGGGGTGTGGACTGCCTCTCGTCGCGCTGGTGTGTGTTTGTGAAAGAGAGAGAGAGAGAGGGTGTGTGTGTATGTGTGTATATGTGTGTACGAGCGTGTGTGGAGAGAAAGAGCGAGGGAAAGCGCACTCCAGGTTGGCGCAGGGACCGGTCCGGAAGAACGGAGCGTTGTGCACGGTGGCAGCATGGCTTCGTCTCACGGGAGAAGCGACCTGCGGTTCGCAGACTGGATGGCAAGTTTACCACAGAGCATGCACACAACCCCGCTCACCAACCTGGCGATTCCCGGTAGGTGTTTCTTTACGTTGCCCCAGCGTAAATGGGTGAGGAGCAGCATGCCCATCTGTTTTGTTTGTGCCCATTGCATGGAGCTATTCTAGTAGATGACAAACTAATTAATATTCTGTGTGATTTAACATTCAACGTATTTACTGCTTTGCAAACTTTGATGTTTTACTTTGCATCCAGTGCAACTCCTGCGCCTTAAATTTCATTGTACCTCTGTAGAACAAAGGGTAAGACCTGTTGCGCAACCTAAGAAGTGTCTTGTATTTAGAACAGTTAAGCATTTTTTCATGTCATGGTCCGCTGTCTGAAGGTTACAAATAACACCCAGGTAATATAGTGCTTCAGAATCTAATAATCCAAACGATGAGAATGTCTGAGGGGAAAATAAAAAGCCGCCAAAGCCTCTTTGGAGATCCTGAATATAGGCTGCAGATGAAGCATGCTCCGCTGTTTGGTGTAGGACTTTTGGTATTTGAACTGGGGTGGTGGCCATGGAGGGGAAGAGACAGGCAGAGGGATGTGTTCAGTCTGTACACTCGCATGATCACAGCGCCCATTGAAAATGAGCTGGTGGACCTTTAGCCAATCAGTGTGCAGATCTCCTTAAACTCCATTCAAAGTGGAAATACTGATTTTAAAGCCTTGCACTGATCGGACTGATGGACTGGCTTATTAGCAGCCAGTTAATTCCATATGTGCTGCCAGTGATTATCACACACCCACACAGATCGCTTTCATTGTTTATTTTATTGCATTTCTAATCCATTGCACTTCCCTCTTTGTGGAGGACAAACTCTTCTATTTTCTCTCTCCCCATCCCTTTCTAGCTGTTGAACTGTAGATACCTGCTGTGTATAGGGCTGGCATGATGACATTTCAGATGCAGATGGCTTGGTGCTCAATGTCCAATAAGGCGTGGCATATTACCAGCACTGACCACAGCTCTTAAGGATGTAAGACGGGCGGTTCATCATAGATGTATTCATATACTGACTGAAAAACAGAAGGCCTGTATTACCTCATGCATGTAATTTTGCTGACTCACGTGACACATGCTGTGTTACACCATTGTTCACGCATGCCAAGGCAGCATGGAATCATGCTTTGTCCCAATTAATTAGGTATCATTATTTGTTATTGGCCCTGCAGCAATACAGCTCAGCTGCTCTCAATGTATCCTCCATTTGGATACAGATTCTGTAAACATCCACAGAGTCTTTGCTCTGTTCCTGTCTTTGTGTGAACACATTTGGCATAATGTTTATCAAGATAAATTCCATAATCTACGAGCTTTTATGATCGCTTCTTTAGCAACAGCTGTTATTATTTGAAATTATGTATGATTTTTTTTTTTTCAGAAGTGTGTCTCATATCACATCCTTTAGAAAGCAGCATTGCTGTCTTTGTTCAAGAATGAATAAAACCGGGACAGACAAGAAACAAAAGAGACACTTCCCCCACAAATTAAATTTATCCTTGTAGCTGGCGTAATATTCACAACGTTAAATTCCTGCTCAATGTCCAACTGCCGCCTGTAACACAGTTATGTTAGTTACTTCTCAGAAAAGAAATAATTCACCAGCTGACACAGCCTGAATCCAGGCCAAAGTGTTTTGGCTATTTGGTATACTCTACCATGTGGGGTGATATGATGGCACTGTACTCCGCTGTTGCCAAAAAGCTTAACAGTCCCCACTGTGTCTGCGTTGCCAGCACTGCACAGCTGTACTCATTAGTATATCTAATCTTCTATATGATTGGCAATGGATTTATTTAAAGGGTTAATGGCAACAGAGAAGACTTAATATCAGATTTTTATGATGGAATCTATTTGTCATATTTCACATAATTGATTGATAAAGCTAATGCAGCCAAATGATTTGTGTAGAACAGGAAAATATGGTATATTGCTATACATTGTAGATTGTCAAAGTAGCATAGTGTAGGTGTTTCTCAGGTGTAACCATTGTAAGACATTAAAAAAAGATACATTTTCAAATTACAGACTTATTTTAAGGTTAAGACTACAATAGACTGAATGATATCATGTGCACTAAGGTGGTGGCAGTCATGGTGAAACAAAGGTATAGTATTGACTTTCACATAGTATATACAAAATGTAATATACAGATAACCTTTTCATGCTGAGACTGAAAATTAAATTACATTACAGGGCTTTCATGAAATGTTAGCTTTATTAATAACATAAAAAGAACAAGTAAAAAACAAAAACCAATCCCTAAAAGTATACATATGTTGGCACTTGGAGAAATGAGATAAAAAGTCCTGATAGTGAGGGATAAGCTGTTAGTCAACAATTTGATATGCTGAATCATAGTTGGAATTTTACTGGCCATTTAGAATAGACTGAAAATACTGGTGAAAAGCATTTGGAAGTAGAGATGATGCCTATTGTTGCAGTGCTTTAAAAAAAATTAATTCCTTAATTCAGTTGTTTACCAATGAAGAGATGGCAGTACAGGGAGGCAGGGAGATCTCTCTTCTTGAGACTTGTTGCATTTTTGTCAAGCTGCAGGCAAGACGAGCCTAACTGACTGACTCCCAAAGACAGAGAGTTACAGTAATCAATAGGCCGAGATAAAAGCATGTACATTAAAACCTAAATGACAAAGTCCTAAGGTGGAAAAATATTCTCTAAGGACACTACTGGAATTAGAAAGGTTATACATCACAACTACTTCTCTGCATCTGTTAAGGTATAGACTGTTTTTATTTATTTTGCATTTGAAATTTAAGATGATGAAGAGGGGTTTTAAAACAATAGATTTCTAGGAGATGTACAGCTACATATTCTCACTGTGACCTGGAAAAAATGTTAGCCTTTCTAAAAAGAAAAAAAAAAAAGATTCCACTGGAAGCATATGTCGTGAGAATAAACTGGGATGGGACTAAAATCGAACCTTGTGGTACACCACAAAGGGCTCAGTTTTGCAGGTACGGGAAAGAAGTAAAGCACTGGAAAGCCTGATCCTAAATGTCATCAGAATGGTTGAGGCAATCCAGGAGAAAAAAAGTGGCAGAGAGGTTCATCTGATTAAAAACTGGATGACGATGAATCCACAGATACCAACAAATCATTTGTCACCCAGAGGAGAGCTGACCCAAAGTTGTTGTGAAACCTGACAAAATTTTGTCCATAAAGTAGAACTGTGAATACACATCCTTTTCCTAGAAATATAGGAAATATGTACACAGTATTAGAGACACAAATATCAGCATACATTCCAGATACCCAAGATATGGTATTCAAGCTGTTCTAAGGAAATATGAAGAATCCGGAGAGGCCAGGGAAGACCAAGAAAACTGTCAAAATCTGATAAGTTACTCAGTGTTTCTTATTGATGGGAGAAAAGGCTGAGATATGCAAAACCTCATAAAAGTTTTAGCAAAGGTCAGTGGAAAAGAGTGAAATTGTTGGGTCCAATTGCTGACAGTATGTGACAAGAAGAGTTGCAGAGAGGTGGAAGAATGAGAGCCTGAAGCCTTCAGTGAAACCCGGTGGAGGGTCTGTCATGGTTTCAAGATGGTCTCCCTAAAAGAATTCAAGCAAGTTAAGTATAAAGGGAGGTCACACGAAATACTGACTTTTGACTGTAGAAGCCATTTTGTCCTGATAATTTTGTGTACATATTTCTTATATTTTCTAGTTGTATCTTAATAAAGAGACTGAGAAATAAATCAAAATTTTCATTACAACCTTGCTAAAACAGCAAAGCTAATGGTGGCCTAAGACATTTGCACAGTACTGTAACTATTGAGTTTAGTTTATTTAGAGTTATAGAGTTGTTTATTATGCTGTGACTCATGATACAGCACAACAGCCAAGCACATTGCAATTTAATTATATATTTTATTAAAATAATACATTTTCATGAGCACGATGCAGCCTGTCTTCTGCTAGTCAGAACCAACTTGTTTGTGTGGATGCTTTCCAACATGAATCAGCTCTCGGTGTTGGCCCCACATGCCTCACACTTTCCTGGCCTATTGAATCTACGAGTCAGATGACCTGCACCAAATCTACTTTATAGCTAATTGAGGAATGGATGAGCAGGAGAGGAAGGGAAGAGGACGTGGTAGCAGATTAAAGATGAAGGTCATTAAAGGGAGAGAGGGAGGGAATAGTTGCCATTTTCCTTTCCACAAGCTGATCATTGTAAGACATGGTGTGCTATTTTTCTGTGGCTATTGTTAGATCTGCTAGGTGAGTGCTGCAGACTGGTCAGCAGAGGTGTGCTGCCAGAGATACTGTGAATCTGTTTCTCTGTGATTCTGTCACCATGAAACGAGCTTTACTGGAGGACAGTGCATAACTGTCAGAATTTCACAGCCAGTGTAATTAAATTGGATTTTGTTTGTCTCTGTTATGGATGCTGATTGAAATGAGCACGTCTCTCCTTCCTACAGGTGTAAACAAAACTCACATAATTACATCCCAATGACAAATACATTCATCTCACAATGTAATCATCATCATTATTGTTTTAATTGGTTCTTCCCTGTTTATTGGTTTTGGATAGGTGATAATCCTGATCTTTTTAAAGCGGAATTGATCGATGTTTGGCCACTAGGGGGCAGATGAGGTTCCTTACAACATTTATAAATGTGTTCTAGCTCCTGTAACACATAAACCCATTTCAAACTACACATATGGATTTCATCAGTGTTTTTATACACAAGATTGATCAGTGCAGTGGTTGACGTAGCTCGTTTACATAGGGTTGATAAGATGTTTGAAAAAGCGCTGTAAATTTAAACTGTATCAGGAAAAATGTAGCATTCATCTTAAATTTGAACACTAGGTTCTATCCACTGCCATGGGCTAATTTGCAATGAGAAATACATTTTGTGTCACTTCAATAAAAGCAGGCAATTCCTTGAACTGGATACTGTAAGTAACTTTAACTCTGAAATATTACATCTTAAAAACTTAAAGTGTCACATTTGCATGAAAAGGCTCATGGAAGCCAACGTCTTTGATGCGTGACTGTAACAGCTCAAAGCTTTAGCAGAGGTAAGAAATGAACAGCATCCATGTGGCCAGGGGAAAGGGTGAAGAAAACTGTTTTAAGTTAAGATGTCTTCACAGCCAATAAAAGAAATCATTTGCAGAAGATGTGTCTGCAGTCTTGCCACCTCCCTTGGGGTAGATGAAAAGGCTGGCCCAGGACATTGAGCTGTAAATCTGTCCATCAGTCCCTCGACTAGATCCTACTCCTGCCACTTAAGCCCTTGAATAAGGAGGGTGAGTGTTATCAGATACCAGGATAAACATAGATACTGTAATGAGGTGTTTGAAAGGCAGGAAATAAGTCAACTACAAGCCTGTGAAAAACAGAAGATAAAAAAATGTTGTTTTAACATGGGAGGAGAAAATAAACTGGTAGAATGAGTAAAAAAAAAACTAAAAAAAAACAGCACAACATAGAAATTAAGCAAATGGGTAAAGAGCTGGGAATGGTACAGCTATTTTCTGTAATGATATGCCACCATGACTCACAAATTACCTTAATTTCTGTTTAGCTCGACTTGAGTTTAACTAAAGGACACAGTGTTTGACCAGGTGCACATTCTGCCTATTTGCAGAACATGACTTCAAAATTGTTCTGACACCAAACTGCTGTCGTTGAGATTCCTTTTTAAGAATGGTTATACAAATATTGATCTTTGCACCAGTATGTGGAAGACCTGGTGGTAAACTCATACTCAAATGAATTATCCATCTGAATACATTTGGAAACTCTTCAATTTTACAAGTTGCTTCAGTAATATCATGCAGAAATTGAGGCTGCTTTGCCTCACCACTGTCAGTTAATTGAGTTTGCAGCAGTAGAAGAATTATCTTGGTTCTAAAAGTCAAATAATTCAGCCTCATCGGAAATGTTTGTGTTTTGTGCTCACTCCCCCTCAAACAAGATGGAAAAGAGTAGCAAGGCAGGAGGCAAAGCAAGAATGGAGTGAATTTGACAGGAGTTTGAAGAATAGAAGGCTACAGAAAGTAAATTCAAAGTGGCAACACTCAAAGATTTTCTATAAAATTATATAGAGTCGTGTACAGGAGAGAGGATGGGGAGTTTGCTACTCATCTTTATCTTTTAGTATCATTTAGCTCATCTCTGTTACTTTGCATTTCCTTTACATTCACTTCTCTACATTCCTTTCCTCTCCTCAACATTCTAAAATAGGTGTTGATAGAGTGCATGGTGAGGCAATGATTTGTTATGAAAAAGGGCATAAACCTCCAGTGGTCTTCTCATTCAGTCAGAATGGCTCAGAAAAAGCAGGTCAATTCTTTAAGGTAGCAGTTATCATCATCATTAAGTGAATTGCTGTGTTATCATTGTCTCAGCTTGTTTCAGCCTTCACCTGTGTCTCGTTTGCGCACCAGCATATTCTCTCTCTTTCCATTTTCTTCACCCCAGCAGGACATCAGCTTCTTCATGTGTGTATCAGACATGATTATGTAGCTGATGTCAGGGAAGAAAAGCGCCCAAAGTTCGCATTCTGTGCTTAAGAAAGTGCTGCACTGTTCGGCCATTGAGACGGTCTCACTGACATTACAAGTGACCCACCGGGGTTAAAAAAGCCTCGCACTCATTTGTATTATTCTGTTATTTATTCTCATTCCAAAAGATGGAATATGACCTTTTCAAACTATGTGATCAAATAAAACTAAAGCATACTTACTATGAATGATATGAAATAATAATAACAATAATTCACTGTGGTTGATGCCACAAGGGAAACAGTAAAATGTGGACTGAAGCTCCATGATAACTGATCATTGATTGCACATACACACCCCATATCTACAGTTGGTATATACATACTACATTTTGTCTCATTTCTAGCAGGTAAATATAGTAGAGTATAAAAACCTAGCAAACATGCCATACAGACTAATGTGGAGCTATAGTTCCTGCGGATGAAAATAAAAGGAGATTGCACAATTATTTGTTCAAATTTATATGAGCATGAAAATTGGTTGTCTGTACATTTCATTTCAAAATGTTTCCTCTTTTTGTATGAATGTGTTGAGACATGGCTTGGCAGAAAGATGGAGCAAATGTTTCATACTAGAACAATAATTAATCATGTTCAGAGCTCAGGTACAAAAACTTCATTGTGTTGGATTGTAGTTCTTATTTCTCTGCACAGCGGCTTCTTACAAATGTTGTGCACATTTAAAATGTTTAATCCAAGGCTGATTTTTCTTATGAGATTGTTTGTCTCTGCTGCTGTAGTTGTCTGTAGCAGAGCTGAAACAATCAGCAAATCTGTAACTATTTTGATAATTGAATAATTTTTTGCAATTTTTGAAAGAATAAAGATCTAGTCATCAATAGCCAGTCTCTTAAAATGAACATCTTTGGATTTTGGGCCTGTTGGCGTCAGACTAAACAAGCAAACTGAAGACGTTACATTGGGCTTGAAGAAACTGCAAGTGGGGTTTTTCACCACTGTCTTATATTTAATATATGCAGTAAATAATAGATTAGTGGATGATGGAAATAACTGTGTGATAATTTTTGCTCCACAACCTTCAGAGCCAAAGAGATACTGTATCATTCTCTGCAGCAACAGCAGCTCTTGTGACTAGTTAAGGTCATACTCTGCTACACTGTGACTCTGCTGGTACAGCTCATCTCGTAGTGATGTTGCCCCAGGATTCAGCCGTCTACCCTGCTTATGGTCATTCTCTGGACCAGCTGCAAAGGCTTAGCGCTGGAGTCTAGATAGCTGAAGGTCAATTTGGACTTTGTGTCTTGGTGGAGGAGAGGTGCCTGCTTGTCTGTGTTGAAGTGTGAGGGGATGTGATGAAGAGACAAAAAGAGGATGAGAATTGATTGTACTGATGAGAGCAGGGGAAGATACCAGAATTAGTGTCAGCCTAATTTTGTCTGTGTGCACACACACTTTTCTAACTCTCAAAGAGGCATGGAAGGACACACAACCTTCAGGCCTAACTAACAGAATTCACCTTGGGTTGGTTTCAAGGCATTGAGACACTGGCAGGCTTTCACAATCAGTTCAGTGCTATTACTTCTATTGGGATGATTTTAAAACCTTTTATTTTGTTTTTGGTCTGAATACAATCTCTCATATGTGAAGACTGGACTTCTTTCCTTTTGTTATCTTAAATATATTGATATTGATAGTGACATTTTTAGATTTTGGGACTATTGGTCAGAGTGAGCAAGCTCAGTTCACTTAAATCACTCTCAGACAGTGGTGGATATCTATTTATATAGCTTTTATCTGCTGTTTCTACCTGAGATACAATGGCGGTGAATTGAAATGTGCTTTTGATTCTCTTATGATCTGAATCTAAGCAGCAGTTCAGCAAACTTCTCTGTTAGGGGTTTATGTAGTTTTGCTTTTGTAGCTAGATGTTCTTCAAATATGTCAGGACAGGCTGAAACAGCAGTCATCCAAGATGAAAATTGTTCCTTTTTCTTCTCTACCTTTTAATTATCTGTCATCTCTGCAAGATACTATCTAACCTCTCAGAAATGATGAGATGTCTAGGATCTTTTTTTGAACTTAAAAAAGCTGGTCTAAAATAAAGTTAACAAAAGTTTATAAGAAAGTGACTACCAGGAATTGAGCTTCAATTTTGTTAAGAACTTTACTGTGGGGCCAAAAATGGGTCCCACAATAAAACTGTTTAACATACAGTACCATGAGTGTTGCTAGAGTTTTGCTCTCTTCTGTTTGATTTTCCTCATCTATGCACCTTGGCAGTGGGTGAAGTTGTGATAGAAGTTTTGCTTTGACGTTTTGTCAAGATACATAAAATAATATCCAGTGAAGTAACTGAGTTACATACATAAGATGGAAAAAATGATCTGCAGTAAAACATTCTACCCATGAGTTAGTGTGAAGGACCAGTGGAAAAATAGGTGATGGGTTTGGAAAAGCTTCACATGTCTGAAGCTCTACATTGAGAATTTGTATTGAGAACTAGACTAATTGAGCTTATTTTGAAGACATACAGTATTTGTAGGAAGATGATCAGACCAATTTCAGGTTTGTCCAAAACTTAATTACTATCTAAAATTCACTAGAACAAAAAATGTATCTGTTAAAGAGGATAACCACACCCTTGACCTGCCTGTCTAATTTGCAGTTGTTCCATATTTTGATAAGAGCTGAACTTTCTCAGCTGTTGAAGGCCACAACAAGTGTCTGAAAGCTTTGGAAACAGCGTGTTGGAGGGACTTTTTGTTGAGAATGTTCTTGTCAAGCTGCTCTTTCCACGGTGGAGAATGAACATTCTACTTCAAATTGGCTGATGTATTCTAGAGTGGACCATACTGTACAAACAGTACAAACAGTAATTGGAGGTGTATAAAGTACTTTAGGTTGAACCCACCAACTAACAATTGTATTTGAGGATTTACTATGAAAAATATACACCATGAGATACAGTATATAAGAAATATGTAATACCAACAGCACAACACTGTTTTTTCTGTTCTGACTGAGAAATGTGATGGGTGAAAAATATCAGTATGTGAACACAGACTTACTTCTTTTCATGTTGTCAGAGCTCATGACTTTTGACCATAGATGCTGTTACTCAGATAGTCAGTGTTGTTGCTATGGCACTGGGCTGTTTCCCGCACTGACCTACTTGCACCAAAGAAATAAAACATGTAGGGTAAGGGTCAATAATTGCATGCAACTTGTGTTTGTGTCCTCTTCAGGTTCCCATGATTCCTTCAGTTTTTACATTGATGAGGCGTCTCCAGTCGGCCCCGAGCAGCCAGAGACAGTGCAGAACTTTGTTTCTGTTTTTGGCACAGTGGCCAAGAAGCTAATGAGGAAGTGGTTAGCTACACAGACTATGAACTTCACAAGCCAACTGGAGGCTGGGATTCGCTTCTTTGACCTGCGCATCTCCACCAAGCCCCGCGACCCTGACAACGAGCTGTACTTCGCCCACGGGCTCTTCAGTGCCACGGTCAGAGCTTTGAGTTTTGATGGTTTTTGATGTGATGAATATTTAGCAATGCTTGTGGTTGCTAAGTGATGTTTGTGCATTTCTGTGTATGTAGCTGCATATTTATGCATGAGTGCAGACTGAGAGTTTAATCACACAAGGTCCTCCAGAGATTATAAGTACATAACAGTTGGTTGCATGTCTACATTTAATATCATTATGACATTAACATGGTTTAATATTAAATGATTAACATGTGTATTGTTTATATTTGTGTTTTGTAGGTCAGAGAAGGTCTAGAGCAGATCAGTACTTTCCTGTCAGCTCATGCCAGGGAGGTCGCGTTCCTGGACTTCAACCACTTCTATGGCGTACAGAACCTGCACCATGAAAAACTGGTGACCATGTTGAAAGATGTGTTTGGAGAGAAACTCTGCCCAGTTGTCTTTGCTCAGGAGGTACTGTCAAATTCAAATGCATTTAACAAGGAGTAGGATTAAAAACAATAACGTGCCTTCTAGTATTTATTGCACATGCAGATTCTGCCTCAACCTTTGTCCGCTTGAAAGGCTTTTGATAAATATTGTTTTCTCAGTCCTGCACAACGGTATTTTCTGTGTTTTTATCACTTGAGATGCAGAATAATTATTATTATTATATCATATTATATTATAACATGCCCTTTTTATTTAAGTTAAGTAGAAAAGTTTGCTTCTTTGCTCAGATTTGTCTCTCTGCTGCCTTCCTCTGTTCATTTTTCCACATTCCACTATCCTGAGTAAAGGGTGTATGTGAAGAATCTGTAAGAAAGAACACTAGTCAGCCTTAAAATTAATAAGCCCTTTACCGACTCCCACGCATCACCGTTCTAAGATCATAGATTTCTATCAGGTGCTGCTGCTGAGTGAGGATGGAGTGTAGAGAGTAAAGGAGACATGTAGGAGGAAAAGGTCAATAGTGACTAGAACTTCTCAGCGTTGTAGGGGCATCTGGGTGATGTTTAATTTTAGAGCAGACAAATGACTAGTTTTCTTTAATCAGGTATTAGATTTTGTCCATTCCCTGTTGCTGTACAAACTTATTCCACTGCAGCACTCTTCTTTGGCAGTTGTTTGTTTTAAGGGCTCAAGTAAAATAATAAGATCTCAGAGAAACTCAAAAAATGTTTTTTTTTTGTTTTGTGTGACATGGCTGCACAGCTAATGTCACAACAAAGACAGAGCTCTTTTGTATTTACTATTCAATAGGGATAGGACAATATATTGAAGTTCACTATATTACGATACAAAAACGTCACATTATGCGACATACATCATGTGGTCTCCCTACACCAGTGACTTCATATTCTTTTTGTAAATAAGATGGCCTAACAGAACATTAGTCAATGTATCTGGTTGGTCTTTACATAATCAAACCAGTGCTAGAAAAGCGGAATAAAGAGGAATATAGTAACAGTCTTCCGCAGCCAGTCATACACTGTTGTCAGTGAACTTTTAATTGTATCATGATTGAATTTAATCAAACACAAAATATCATGCACCAAATTGTTTTAAAAAGGTCACATTGTTCCTTCCATTGTTTTCAACCCTTATCACCTTTTTCTTATTTTATCCCTTCTCATCATTTCTCCCTTCATAACCTCCTGCTCCTCTGATCACACTTCTCCTTCCATCCCCAGGTGACTCTGCAGTATCTGTGGGAGAAGGAGTATCAGGTGCTGGTCTTTTACCACCACCCCATGGCCCTGGAGGTGCCCTTCCTATGGCCCGGACAGATGATGCCTGCTCCATGGGCCAACACAACTGACCCAGAGAAGTTGGTTCAGTTCCTTCAGGCTTCTGTCACTGACCGCAGGTCAGCCACTACATTCATTTCACTGTGTGCATTTAATGTTGATAGTACATGAGGTTAAATGGCACTACATGTGATGAGATTATCTTAGTGATGTTTGTATTAATTTAAATAATAGTCTATGTAGCATTCATTTCATTTTGTTACATGTCTATGCCGTACAAATGACTCATAACATCCTGTCCTGCTGGTTCATTCTGTCATGATTTTAATTTATTGTTAGAGTTCTCAGAGCTTTAACTGGCTGCAATGAAGAATATCATTTACTGTAGTTAGCTGACTATATCTTATTGCTACAACTAGTCTTTAAAAAGATTCATGCACAAAGTATTGCAATCTTTTGGTTCCGTGACACAGTAAAATTATGGCTGACACCAAAGGCTAATTAGC